CTTTCCACTAGTTGAAGCACTAGATTTACCTTCTTCCACCACATTAATGGTGGAAGTTCTAGGATTCCCATCCTTAGCATTTTCCATGTCCCTAATCCCTTCTTCAACTTGAAGATGGGTAGCCAAATCAGACAATGATATGTCCTCGTTTTTGTGTTTCAGTTCATGTTTCACATCTTTCCAACTAGTAGGTAGCTTATCAATGATACTTGAAACAACAAATAGTTCATCAACACTAATTCCATGTTGTTTCAAATTACCATAAATACGTTGTATCTCATGAAATTGATCCACGATGGACCTACTATCAACAAATTTGAAATTATTAAAATTACTTGCAAGGAACTTCTTGCTAGAAGCATCCTCCGCCATATATTTGCTCTCCAAAGACTCCCATAATTCTTTAGCATCTCAACATGTTGATACACATAAAACAAATCATCCTCCATCCCATTGAGAATATGACCCCGACAAATAAAGTCATCATTATCCCACTTTGATTTCCCACGAACATCTTCCATGGTCTTATTCTCATGTTCTACAGGCCTAGGAGTACTAATGACATAGGCAACTTTCAACGAAGTAAGAAGAAATACATTTTCTTCTTCCAACGTCGAAATTCCACACCATCAAACTTCTTAAGTTTGACAATATTAGTGGTAAGTTCTTTCACACTAGACATGATTAAATAATCACTTTAGATTGTTAGGTTTTCAACAATTCTACACAATAAGAATTACTTAAAGATGGTGGAACAAAACCTAAGCAGTGTATAAATAATGTTTAATTATACAACTATCAATACTAATCAAAGTATTACAAACCAAACAACAATGTCAAAGTAATTCAGAAATTACAAAGAAAACACTAATATGAAAGATACTAAAACTTGTCTCTAATCCAAGCCAATGAAACCACCAAGAACATGAGAATACCAAGGACCACGTGATTCTTCAATACCGGATACTTGTCTAAGGCGTGTAAACACTTTCCTAAAGTGATTATTCCCCCACCACGGTGTTTGGGTTAAAACTGGAAAATCACTTTGAGATACAATAGACAACACTACAATCTTTGCACTAAGATTGTAACAAGATGATCAAATGCTCAAAGATTAACTTAATTGATAGAGTTTTCTATAAGAGATTGCAAGTTTCTTAGAGAAAATTGTGAAAAAGAGTGAAAACTTAGAGAGGAAAAACAGAGAGAGCAAAAAACCAGAGTAAGTTATTCTTTTAATTTCTCAATTAAAAGAACAAACGAAACCGCAACTGCCAGGCTCGCGGGCGCAACATCCAGGGCCGCAGGCGCGGCATCTAGTAGGAGCGGGCGCTCCTCATGAACCCGCGGGCGCGACACTTCAGCCTGCGGGCGCGGACAGGGAAATCGCAGATTTCACCCAACTTTCTGGAGATGCCTGGCCGCGCCCATGCCGCGGGCGCGGCTCAAAAGGCCGCGGGAGCGGCTTTCCGTGGCTTCCCAGTTGCGGCCTCTCCATTAAAGGAGAAGGCTTTCTTCTACCACACTCTAAATTCCTAACAGACTATAGGGTCATCGTGAGGCCGCCTGACCTTGCCCCGATCCTTCTTAGAGATGAGGACCTCTGGGAAGGTGTCTTTCGACACATGGCCCTCATCCACTGAGTTAACCAACTTTCTAATGTTGTTCTTAGTACCTCGGATGGTAGGACCCCCCCCCCCCCCGCGAAGCTGCCTGCTATGGTAAAGATCTGCTCTTCATCAGTGTCAGAGCTTATAACTGGCTTCTTGGACGGTTGTCCATTGTTTGTTTTGGGGTTACCCTTGGACTTCAGAATATAGGACTTCAAAGCCCCCTCATCAGCCAGACAGTCCAGTAGCTGCCTGAGGCTATAGCATCCATTGGTGTCATGCCCTATATCCTCATGGAAATGACAGTACTTGCTCTTGTCCCGGCTTTTGATGGGACTTTTCATGGCAGCTGGTTTTTCAATGGTCAACCGGTCTTTGATCTCCATGAGGATGGAGGAGCATTCCTTGTTGAACTCGTACTTGGGGACGTACGGCTTCAACTCTCTCTTTTTCTTCTAGGACGGCTGACCGGAATGGTCCGCCACCCAGACTTCTTTTCTTTTCTTGCTCTCTTCTTTTTTAGCCGGTTGAGCAGACCGACTGTCCTTTTTGTCAGACTTTTTAGGGTCCGACGGGTGCTTGATGTCACAGAGCTCCGTTGCTTGTATGTAGGCTTCAGCTTCCATCAATGCCTCTTGGAGGGTAGCAACCCTCTTTCTAACCAGGTTGAACTTAAAAGTCGACCCATCTTTCAGACCCTTGAAGAAGTTTGTGTAGGCAACTTCGTCAGATAACCCTTGAATCTGAATTCTCATTAGATTAAACCGCCTGACATAGGACCTTACCGCTTCTCTATATCCCTCCTGAATAGCTCCCAAGTCGAGACTTGTCTTTTTGGCAGGGATATTCATGAAGAAGTTGGACGCGAACAGATACGCAAGCGTCTTGAAGTTGTTGATGCATCCGGCTGGCAGATTGCCAAACCATCGTTGGGATATGCCCTTCAATGTTGCCGGGAAGCATCGACACCAGGCGGCATCATCTAACCCCTGTAAGTATATGAGGTTGGTGTTAGCCATTAGATGATATTCCGGGTTGGTGGTACCATCATAGGTACCAACCAACACGTTCTTAACTTTGGCCGGCTAAGCCGCCTCGATTATCTCCTTGGAGAACGCCGACGGCTGTTCCCCAAGGTTTAGCAGCCAGAGCTGTCAATCCATGGGCTGGACATTTTGTGCCGCCTGACCCCCAAAGAGTGAAGGCTGCATATATGGTGATCCATACGGCATGTATGGCTGTTGGGGCACATACGGAGCCAACAGGATAATCTGAGGGTCAGTGTGTGCGGACATGCCGCATGGCTGACTCTCTCAGTTTGTTTCTGAATACTTCATTGAAGTATTCCGGAAACTGTCTGGGTAAGTCCCCGTTGAGGCCGACTCAGACAATTGTTAACTTCTCTTCTCCTGGATAAACATTCGGGCATCTGAGTAAGTCTTTTTTTACCCATCCGGCTGAACTTGCCGGATGGCCTTCCTCTGCTCTGATTCAGGCAAACGAAGTTTGGACAGGTTGATCATGGGTCCGTCCGCCCCTTTTGGTTTAGGGTGAGGAGTAGGCACACGATCTTTCACATGCTTCTTCCCAGAGGGAGAAGGCTTCTTGGCCAACTGACCCTTATTGGTGCCAGTTGACTTATTTATTAGGTCCTTCATTTCCCCTTTGAAACTCGTCATGAATTTCATGAGTTTGTCTCTAGTTACGGGGGCAGCACCCTCCCCTGCCTGGGGTCGCCCAGCCGGCCTGACGGTTGGGCTATTAGGACCAGCTTTGTCTTCGCCCCGTTCCCTTGTTTCCTTGGAACGGGTGCGTCTCGTTCTGAATGACCCGTCTGGAGCCACATAAGTGTCGACCTCAAAGTCGTCACCACTATCTTGGTCCGTGTGGACCTCGGTTTCGTCCATAGGCCGTTTTCCCTCAACATGCGGTACAAACTCTGATGCCATCTAGGAAGTACTCTCCCCACAGACGGCGCCAAATGTTTCGGGGTTTTTGGAGTCCCTCGGGAGAGTTACAATTCCAAGAATGCGCGTCAACTGTCTGTACCTACAAAACCACGGAAACTCCAGTTAGGTGGAGTTTCGCCTTCGACGATCAAGTTAGAACGTTTCCGGATGTATAAAAGTGCGGAATGTAAAAGTTTTTCTCTCAGATTCCGAGAGAATTCTGCAATTAATATTGCTCGGGTTTTATGTGTACATTTATGAAAGTGTAATAAATGAAGATTTTCCTCTATTTATAGTGGAAGGGGATCAGTTCCCTTTTTAGGGTTAAAGTGCCACGTGTTAGTAGAGGATTGGATCCCCCAGGACCTCTCTAAGGCTAACACGTGTCAGCATGCTATAGGGCCACGTGGACAGGGTATTTTACCCTAAACAGGTTCTTATTAGATTTTGTATTAATATGTTTTTTTTACTCTCTCTGTTTTTTATCACCTTTGAGTTTTTTATTTCGTGTTTTCTTTTCTTTCTTTTTTTTTTATTTATAACTGTAGAAGAAATAAATGTTATTATGTAATATATTGTTGGAATAGTTACAATGTCTATTTTTATTTAATTTTTTTAAAAAATAATTTTTTACTAAATCTAATAAAAAATATCAATGATTAAAGTTGAACCTCATCAAATGTGCAAAACCAAATGATGCATTAAAAAAATGAAGGAGTAAGGCCATGTTCACTTTATTTTAAAAAATACTTCGTAACATTCAGTAAATATAATTTCAATTCAGTAAAAATAATTTCAGTTTCGTAAAAATAATTTCATTTCAATAAAAAACAGTAATTTTAAAGAAGAAATATAATAGAGAATCACTAAAATAATTTCAGTTTAGTAAAATTATTTTCAATTCAGTGAAAATAATTTAAGTTCGGCAAAAATAATTTCAGCTTGGTAAATAATTTCAATTGAGCAAAAATAAGGTAAAGTCAAGTTAGTAAACAGGGTTTAATATGCAATTTCTTAATTTTTTATTATGAAATTAAAGCTATATATGGCAACGAAAAATCGCACATAAATTGATAAAATAAACTTATTTTTCATGATGTGATATGAAATAAGTAATATGGTCCTTAAATAAGGTGAATTAAAACATGGCCAAAGTTAGATACTTATAGTATAAATATAATAAATTTGTAATAAAATAAACAAGGTATTACAGTTACAACAAACATTTAAAAAAATCGGATGTACAATAAAATTGTACATCTGCTATAAAGTTACCTTAAAATAATCAAAAGTTACCTGTAATGAGTGAAAGCTATCCCATTAACATAAGTTACTCTGATATAAATAAAAGTTATTTATGCTTGATAAAAAGTTACCTCAAATAAGTCTAAAATTACCCAAAATACAATAAAAGTTACAATACTACAGTATATGGGATGTATACAAATTTTTTTGTTACAATTACCGAAAAAAACACATTAAAAAAAATAATAAAAATAAAAAAGAGGTCTAGTATAAAAGGTTGGATGAAATAAGAGAAAATCACTTGTTATAACGAGGGAGAACTATTGAGAGAAAAATTACAAAAAGGCGTCGGTGGGAGATTAATCCGCAGGGATCTCCGGAGTTTTAAGAGAGAGAAAGTTGAACACTTAGAGAGAGAAAGTTGAACACTTTGTACATAATATAATCAATCTAAAAGCTTTTGAGGTCTGAATTTCTTCAAGGTCCTCAACAAATACAGGAGAGAGAAACTGGGCAAAGTTTTGGGGTGTCACCATTAGAAGCGGCTTTCAGAGCCCCCTAAAAAAAACAAATATATATATATATATAATATTGATTCAATTGGAATTAAAATGGGGGAATTTTGTGGCAGTGATTCAGTTTCTGTTGATATGGAAACTATTTATCTTGGTGGAAAGGTTTTAATTCTTTCTTAAATTTATTGATTTTTTTAGTACATATGTAATCTTGATTGTTTGTTTTTGTGGGGTTTATTTTTAAGTGGTATTGTTCTTGCATTTCTGGATTTATGTCTTTTCTGGGTTTTTAATTTTGTTTTAGGAATTGGGTTTTTTTGGATCTTGTGGAATTTTTTCTGGGTTTATTGAATTTCCCATTGCTAGGTTGTTTTTTATCCCCAAAATGCATTGAATTGGTTGATTGAAAAACCCTTAATTTGGAATTGTACAAACGATTGGCAATATGCTAGTTTAGGAGTTGCAATTTTGTGATTCTTCCCACCATTTTTGGAATTTTAATGTCTGATAATTGCTTTTTTTTTATTTATTTGAAATTCTTAATTTAGTCACGTATTTGTAATTGAATACCATTTGTGTTGTTTAACTAACTAGACTAGACTTCTACTTGATTTTTGCTAGGATAGCTCTTTTCCCTGAATTGCTGACTTTTCTTGTTTTATGTTATGTTGGGACAATTAATGAGGTTGGTAATTATTGAAATATATTACTATTAGTTTTGTTGCTGTAATTGTCACTCTAATTACATTTGGGAATCTCATTTTCGGGTTTCGATTTTCGGGTTTTGATTATCATTTGTCATATATAATTTGCACGCTTAAGCCTAACAGGACGTTTAATTGAGGACTAGGGAGTGATTGTATTGCGTGATGATACTCCGAGTACATAAGACAATAAACAGCTAATGCTCTTGAATTTACATTATTCTTTAATCTATACTATATGCTTTTGACTTTATAAACAACTATTCATATCAGTAAAAGTTTTTTTCCCTTAAAATTTAATGTCAGCTTTTATAGAATCTGTCATCATCACTTTTATTCTCTTCTTTTACTTTTAATTTCCCCAGCAAAGTAGCAACTTTATAATGTAATAGTTTGGTTAAAATTTGAAGTAAAGCATAATGTTTCTGAGTTTGATTCTTAGCCTCTTATAGAAGTGACTGAAAGAGTAGGGTGACATTATTCTATAGTATAAGACTGAAGTTGTATGTATAGATCTAGTTTTGTTTTTGGAAGTAGTCAGAGAATTAGTTGCATTGTTGCACATGGTAAGCCACTTTTGAGTGAAATTCCATCTGTTATTCCTGCTTTTGTTTTCTATCACATAACAAGAAGTTATGGATATTGCTTTAATTTAATTTTTTAATGAAAGTAATAACATGACAAATTATTTCTTTTGACTTTATCTAAGTGTCCATTTTTTGCTTTAATTTAGGTTGTGCATTATCTTATAGTGATTTTCTGGCAATTAGCTCTAATTTTCAAACTGAGATACCCATCTCATAGTTCATCCCTGTTTTGTGAGGCCTCTGTTGCTTTTAATGATGCAGTATGGTAATTTTCGATTGCAGGAATACCACGTACAAACAGGATGTGGCCCTGTGTCTGTCATTGTGTATGGAGACAGAGATAAGCCAGCATTGGTTACATATCCTGATTTGGCTTTGAATCGTAAGTATCGTAATGTGTTATTTATTTCTTACTTGCAAATCTTTGTAATGGAAGGATCATTGTCATGACGTGATTTGTGCTCCCTTTCTTCATCTTCTCCTCATCTTAATTTTTTAATATTGGTCTGTAACCTTACTGTCTTTGTTCTTATATGTGTAACGTCTTGTGACTATTGAACAGACATGTCTTGTTTCCAAGGATTATTCTTTTTTCCTGAGGCCGCTTCTTTGCTGCTCCACAACTTTTGCATTTACCATATCAGCCCTCCTGGACACGAGGTCTGTAAATCTTCATATATACTGTCTTCTGCTTTTTATCTGTCTTTTTTCTTCCTGTAATTGTGAGATGTTTTTCTTTAGACGACTTTGGTTATTCTATTATTCACATTTACCTTATGAAACTCTTGTCAAGAGTTCTTGCAGTTGGGAGCTGCTGCTTTATGTCCAGATAAACCTGTGCCATCAGCTGAAGATTTAGCTGATCAAATTCTTGAGGTTCTCAACTTTTTTGGGTAAGCTAGGGCTATGTGTGTGTCAACTGATTTTTGTTCTCTGGTGCTGTTGCTTGTAATTGTTCACTTTGCTCTATGTAAGTTAATTCTGACAACAGTTGTTCTTGTCCAGGCTTGGTGCAGTGATGTGCATGGGCGTAACAGCAGGAGCTTACATACTTACCCTATTTGCTGTATGTTGTTTGCATATACTATTAAGGTTTTTGAATAATTTCTTAAGTTAATCTGTCTGGTTAACAAAGGTTATTGGTGTTGCAGCTGAAGTACAAAGATCGTGTTCTTGGTTTGATACTTGTTTCACCTTTGTGCAAAGGACCTTCATGGACTGAATGGTTGTATAATAAGGTTCTTTTTCTCCTCTTGTCATACATTATATCTTTCACAAAGTAATTAATGTTCTATACTGTATAAACTGATTCAATTTATCAATTTACAGGTTTTGTCGAATTTGCTTTACTTCTATGGGATATGTGGCTTGGTGAAGGAATGTCTGCTAAAGCGCTACTTCAGTAAGGTAGTACTTGATTGTTTCTAGTCCACGCTAGCAGTTACCTTTGTGGTAGTTTGTTTTGAACTTTTCCATATGCAGGAAGTTCGTGGAAATGCAGAACTCCCCGAATCAGACATAGTTCAAGCATGTCGAAGGGTCAGTGCTCTTTCTCTGGTGCTTTTGTTCTTTCTTTTTTTTTTTTTTAGGCCATGACATGTGTACTGGCTCCTTGTCTTTTCAGTTGCTAGATGAGAGGCAGAGCATTAATGTTTTACGGTTTCTTGAAACAATGAATGGGTAAGTTCTATTGCAAATGTTGCTTGTCAAGCTTCTCTCGTATTATGAATTACTCTTCTTTCGACATTTCTTATTTTTTGTTTTTTCCGTTTTTGTATAAACAAGCAGGAGACCTGACATTAGTGAAGGATTGAAAAAACTAAAATGTCGGACGCTGATTTTTGTTGGGGATGAATCATCTTTTCATGCGGAGGCTCTTCACATGATTTCAAAACTAGACAAAAGATGCAGTGCATTGGTTGAGGTATGTACATGGAACTAGCTCACTTGAAACTCATTTGCCTTGTGGTTTTTTTTCAAGATTATCTCATTTTGGTAGATTGTATATAGAACGCCCAAACTTTTTCAATTCAGAAACCATTTAGGCCAATTTAAATCAGACATTTGTGACAATAATGAAACTAAAAGTTATAAGTTCGCAAGGGAGAAGGGGGGAGAGGGTGCTACACATGCAGTTCTAGGAATCTAAGTTGGGGTATGGTGAAACTTGTGTCGCTTTTAGAGGACATGGGTGCTTTCTAATCAAGAACTTGATGCAAAGGGATGACTTTTGACCGTCTTATCATGTGAACAAATCATATAGGAATGATTTTATCCTGTTAGTCAAACGAAGTACACAATGGTAGAGTTGCTTACACAGGGTTGATTTTTGAAGGTACAAGCTTGTGGATCAATGGTAACAGAGGAGCAGCCTCATGCAATGCTGATACCATTGGAGTACTTCCTCATGGGATACGGATTCTACCGGCCATCTCAGCTAAGTGGAAGCCCGAGAAGTCCTCTCAGCCCATCATGCATCTCTCCAGAGTTGCTTTCTCCAGAAAGCATGGGATTGAAGCTGAAACCAATAAAGACTCGCATTTCCTTGCAGTCATAGCAATGGGTGATATTCGGGGTGTATGTCCCTGCATTTCCCACTCTTTCTGTTGTAATTTTTTCATTATTTTTTGAATCACGAATGAGGGTCGTAGTTGGAAGATTGTAGATATGTAGGATTGTTTTGATAGAAAGGAACATATGTATAGGGAGGGATTATTCATTCATTTGTAGTCATTCATAAACGAACGGACAATGGTTATTTGCTTGTAAATCTTTAGAACTCCTTTTATGATGGCGAGAAATTAATAATGAAAGAGCATATTTATGAGTTTTTACTGCCTCTGGTGGGAGTGTTTATACTTTCTTCATCCACAAAACCCTTGTATTTCTTTCCAAACACTTTCAATTTTGTTTTTCCTTTCAATTTTAATCTGCATAAATAGTTTGTTACTTCCCGGTTGACAAAAAAAAAAACTCAGGAAGAATACCTTGGGAAGTAGAGTACAGAGTATTGCATATATCAGAAAGTTGTTCATCCAATCTCCTTATGTAGTGTTGAGGAAATCAACTTGCACCACCAATAAGAAAAATTTTCGACATATTTTCGACATACTTTTTATGTTCAATCAAACGATAACAAGCAGACAATTCGGCAAACAAAAATCTGAAGCTTATCTGGAATTGTAGATGAAGTGTAATGAAAGTAAAACTAAGGTATGCGTGAATATTTTGGGCAACAGTTCACATGAAAGGCAATGAGCAGTGTATATGTGCGGTGGCACTGTTGTCTGTTTTTGGGAAAGCCGTGATTGGTGCTTAAGCAAATTTTCTTTTGTGGCCGAATTATATTTGGTGGGCACCAATCATTGTTGTCTTTTGGTGGGTCCATTTTTTTGGCTGAGCTGGCATCATGTTTGTATTTGCTGTTCTTTTCTTCCTTATCTTTAAATTTATGCATTTCCCTACCCTTTTTTTATCTTCTAATTTGAAAAAATTAATTTATGATAACAATGTCCAAATAAATTGTTACTTGTTAGGTTGTTTGAATTGAGTAGGGATATAATTTGCAACTCTGTCAAAGTTTATTTTAAGTTATTAACATTTGCAATTCTGAAATGCGTAAGAGGTCATATTGTCATATGCACTTCTTTTTTGAAAAAAAAAAAGTTTGGTGTTTTAATTTTAAATTTATTAAGATGGGAAGCTAATTTATTTCAATGCGTCGTGTGACTTGCTTAACAATTTATTGGAGGGTGTTTATGTTGCATAAGAACGGGTATTGATACGGATACGGATACGGATACGGATATGGGTACGAAATGGATGCGGGAAAACGTCTATCTTAAAATAAGGGACACGGGTACGGAATGTGAAAATTCATAAAATATATTTAAAAAAGAGAATCTGGTTAGATATTTGTCATTTTGCCCTCTCATTAGATCATATTGTATCATATTAACAATGAGCTATATATGAAGGCACCCATATTATTTAACAATTACCTTATTTATCTTACTTTACTTAAAAATTCTCATTAAAAAATTAGTTGAACAACCCATATCATAGTAGGATACGGTACGAGACGTATCGTCGTGTGTTCCACAAGTGTCGGTGTCTGACATAATATCCGACACGAACACGACAGTTGGATGAAGTGTCCATGTATCCTAGGTTATTGTATTATCGTGCAAAGAAATCTCCATAATTAAGATAATTACGGAAGGAACATATTTTATCAATTATTACACTTCTGGCTATCCATAATATTTTACCTTGGTTCTTTCTATGATGCCTTCAAGTCATTTTATTACCCTTCTACAGAGTAACTTGTTTAGCAATCTTGGAAAGTAAATGTGTATATATGTGAAATATTTCATGTCAACACTCAATACCCATAGTAATATGAGTCTATTCCCGTTACCTCACTTTTTACTTAACTTTTTACAATTATCTATTACATTTGATTGTTAAATAGCAACGGAAACTTTTGAAGAAAATACATATTTTTGGAGATGAAATTCCATTATGAACACGTGTTCATCTAATAAGTTTGTACACATTCATGTTATTATTACCACTCCTCATATGAATAAAAAAAATAATAATAATAAAATAAAAAAATTATTATCACGATTTATGATTTTTTTTTAAGGTAAGGAGAAGGATTCTGACTGTACATGATTTTTTTTTTTGTCAGGTATTTGCGGGTCAGATGTTTTGAGAGTAGGGAGAAGGGTAAGGGATCCCCACCCTCAAAGTGTCTTTAATGGGGATTGAACCCTCAATCTCAAGGTTAAAAGGTGTAATATTTATGATTGATTACCAAAGTAATGTATATGTATTAAGTTTTCCTAGCATTTTTATATTAGAATAGTTTAATGTACTTCTTCAATTCCTATTTGATATATTTACACAATCATTTGGATGGTAAAAGAGGAAGTGGGCTGTAGTGTGACCGTTGAATACTCAAAGGTGGCGGGAGTTCGGTGCCTATTATGCAACTACGCATGATTACATGAATATAATAATGTAAATCCATGTGTTAGATTCCACCTCTCTTTTCCTTCCTTTATGGATTAATGCTTTCTAGAATTTTTTTTTTTTAACAAGCTTTTCTAGGTTTTTGATGTTATTTGTAAATTCAGTATTTAATGAGAAATACATCATCCGTCAAATGAGCCCTATAACATTTGATCCCATTTATACCATAGGGAAAGTTAAGGAGTGATATCACTATCTCACCACCTCAATCCCGAGGTATTATTATGAGATTATAATAATCAATGCAATGCCTTTTCTATGCTCATGGGAATATATTAGTTCTGTGCATATTACGTGCTAGTTTGGTTAGATGCGGAAAATAACTACGATGCCCATAAAATTTTACTTCTGAGGAATTTTAAAATTTACTTAGTTGAACATAGGAATCGCTAATAATTAAGTTCTAATAAGTAAGCACCCAAATTTATAGTCTACAATTGAAATCAATTGTTATAATCTTAAAGGTTGACATACATATAAATGAAAATAAGTGTACCTGTAGAGCTGCACCAAATAAACATTACACCATAAGACGTATAACATGTGTTTTCCTTTCAAGTTTTGCTGTGATGTAAAGTCTATCAGTTCAATGATGATTCAGCAAATACTTTACATTTGATGATTTACATAAAAATGATTGTTAAAATCCAAGGAGGGTCATAGACTATGACATAATTCAATGGTTGCAGCAGTCTTACCCTGGACTTTGCTCGTTAAATCGGACTCAGTAGAAGCATATAAAGAAGGGTTTCCATCAACTGTACTTATAAGATGAAGTAACGTAGATTCAAGCTCTTCTCCATTGCTCCAGTCATGGACACTGGCCTTGACGAGGGAAGGGTCGCTATTGATACGCTCCCACAAAGGAAAATTCTTTCGCGGCATGACATGATCAGTTTCTCTGATTTTCAAACTTGGGCAGTAATCACCTCCACCATCACCAATATAGATGGTAGTACTCTTCCCGTTTTCTCCAGCAGAAGCTTGTATACGCTCAAGAATCAGTCCCTGTCAGAAATTCCAAAAATTGATTAGATGAGTAACATATATATATGTGGCGAATTAACAGTAATTTAATTTTTTTTTTTTTTTGGGAATACCAATGAAAGTCACCATTGATAAAAACAACAGACATGCTATCAATGTAATTCGATAGCCATATTATTACATGACAAGAACAAGTAAAACACCAACCCATCCACAAAAATCATCCAGCATCCAGTCTGTACATGGGTCTGTCTATAAAATAAAGCCAACTTCGGAAACCCAAAATAATGGAGACAATGGTTTAATTTCCTCAAATGCCATCATCAACTATTGCAGGTCCAAAGAAGCAACCAGATTTCAAACAATTGTCTTCGCTTATACCAATGAAACCCAGTGTTTGCAAGCACCAATTGAATAAATAAATTTGAGATCTCTATTTAAACTCCGTTCGCAATAATATAAACTCTTGGGATTTCTATACGGTAACTGCAAGCTGGATATTAATCTATTGGAGATATAAAGACAATTGTATAGAGCATTTTCCTACAAATCGAAACATACTATAATGTTTGTAGTAGGCTACTTAGCAGTGATAAAGAGTGATAGACTTGGACATCGAAAATTTGGAAGATCACCCCAACAAAATTGCCGAAAATGGGCTCTTATGATGAATGCTGATTTTAGTTTGACTAAAATCTGAAAATCCGGAATGCTCCAGACTCCAGTTAACATAGGAAAGTTGGAAATGAATAGACCACCTGGGAAAAGTTTCCTTAATCCTAGATTTGACAAGGTAGGTGAGGTCCCTAGAATAGGAAAATGGTATTTATATTCCTAATCTCGGGATTTAGAAGAAACTTGAAACTGAAAATTTATACAGTAAGTAATAGCAGAAGGATGCATGACAATAACCTCAGGCAGAAAAACTGATGCCGTTCAACAGTGTTAAGGAAGAAAATGAAGGGTAATTTGCTTTGGGGGAAGGGAGGGATTAAAGAAAAGGAAAGGGTATGCAAACCCCTATTTCCCAGGAAACATTGTAGAATGTTTGGCTGTAAATAATTCAAACAATTGTCCTCTTCCTAACTTTTACTTCTACTACTCTTCTCTCTTCTCCTCCAAACAACACTTACTAACCACATGACTTAGTGCTTCCATCTCAGGCAACCAACTCTTCCCCCCTGTACCACCTCCGGCAGGAGCCTAAGCTATAGCCACCACATCCACTGTCTCCCTCACAACCACTGCCCCACCGCCACCATTGCAGTTCATAACTACCCGACACTCTCAACCACCCAAAAAATCCAACATTACCAAGTAACACCTCACAATCAGCTACCAAGATAACTTGGTAGTGATAGAACTCTTCCCAACCACCCAACATGAGACTATGAGAGGGACATCATGTTCAATGCTCATTCAATGTTCAGTCAAAACACGTTTGTTAAGTTAATAAACAAGTTTGAATAAAAAAATCTTAGGCTTGTTAAATAAATGAGCAAACCTCGACTTGATAATGTTCATGAACTTGTTTTAGTTCGTTTGTAAGTTCTTCATGTCCGATAATAAATCGATTAAATCTTCTTCAAGATTAAAAAAAGTCTCTTATTAAAAGCTACTTCAATATCTTTGTATATAATTTACTCACACATGTTTTTAAATTTACATTTCATCATATGTAGGCGTGAAAATTTAGCTATTCAGATTGACAAAATCTTGGGATAATATTAAAAGGATGCATGGAAACTTGAAAGAATTCATTTTTTATAGGTCACTCAAGGCTTATTTTACTTAAGCCTTCAAGAGGTTGAACTTGATATGTAAACAAGCAATGTTCGTAAACAAAGCTCAAATAAGCCAAACTCGTAACGATCCAAGCTCGAACAAGAATTTTAAAAGCATGTTCAAGGTAAAACACACTAGAGTCGGCTTGGCTCAGATCATTTGCAGCCAAATACGGTGATCAAAATCGACCCCCAAAATTGGAGAGTTGTGGGTTAATTTGATACTTCTCAAGGTAAGGGTTCACGACAACAATAAAATATGGCGGTGCTTGAGTACTATAGTTGATACGAGATGATGATGACCTCAATGAATACCATATGAAGTTGAGAAAGAGAATATTCCCATTGAGGTTTTCGTTGTAGAATGTAGCAAGAGAGTTAAGAATAGGTCAAAGGAATTCTAAGAAGAGAAAGATATGATCTTGTGTATAGAATAAAATGGTTGAGGAAGTCTACAAAATAAGAGAATTGGTATTCATCCCTTATGTGAGCCAAGCAAAATTATAAAGCACCCATTCTTGATTCCTTTGCCCGAATTTCTCTTTCTTGATTCCTTTCCTCACTTTGATATTGTCAGGTTTGGTAAAAATAATTGGCTTCTAGCTTTTGTATGTGCTCAAACAGCAAATCATGTTTGGACAATGATTTTTCACTTGGATAAAAAGCCAGCATTTTCGCCAAAAATGAAAAGCTACTCTTATATTATGTGAACTTTTTTCTAGTTACCTTTCTATCCCTACTATATAAAATATATCAGTGTCTTTTAAGGTCATTTTGTACAGTCAACAACCAAACAATTGATTGTACCAACATAGTTAGAAACAATCAATAACAATAGTTGGTCATACTAGCTAAGTGAAATGACCAACAATGGATTACCAAATAAGGCCATGATGTTATGCATTTTAGGCTAAACATGAAAAATAAAAAAATAAAAAGGGGGGGGGGGGGACGGGGGGTGTGAAATTAATTTTTTTGAGTCATGGCAAGCATTTGTTATGGACCCATGATGGCGTAAATTTGATGTCTTATCTTAAGGTTTAATGACACTAGTAGTAGTTCTTTGGCATCAAAATCCTCAACATTCATACTTTCTTGCTTAAACTATAGACTTCTAGAGTAACTAGTTTAGCATGTTTACAGCTCTGGAGCTGAAGCTATGATATTTGGCAAAATTTCACTGGGTTGTAACTAATTTGGAAACAATGGTACTATTATGTCCAAAGCCTAAAGCTCAATGTGACAAATCCCAGAATCACTTAAGAGGCTGACAAAAATCATCTTTTGGGAAGAACAAGAAAAACATTCTCCTCCATCCTACCACAAACTAACTGCTATGTGGTGCTTGTTGAGTTCTAGTGACTCCTTTACAAGCACCTCTAAACAGGGATGAAGCTATTGAGGGGCTAGCAAGGACCACCATCCCTCATATGATATTATAAATGCATATGTACAAGGTACTCCCCAGAGACCTATAATACATTTAGTGATGTGATGAGTAATTTCAGATCCTGTTAGATAGTATATGCTCACCACAAAACAGTGTCTCACTGAGGCTAAAGATAATAAAACATACGCAGGATGAATGAAATTTTACAATACCTCTCAAAGGAAATTTCTACTTCTTACCCACATAAAAGGTTTCCCCGGAAATTCATATCATATTTGTGTAAGCAGTACGTCGTGACTTGCCATTACCTAATCAGAATGGTCACCTTCTGCTAACAGAACACTCAAAACCTTATTGTACCTTTCCCTGCTCTTCCACGCTGCACCATTCTTCTGCTTAGTCACCTCTCATAACATCATCACAGTCTAGCCATTCTTACCCCTGCCTTTTCCCATATCACATTTTTCTCACCAAAGCTTATAAACAGAGGAATATCAATCTAACTCTTTGTAAGGACTCAGAAATCTTTTTTTGGGAGGTTAAATGGGTTTATGAAAAATACATATGGCTTAACTAATTCTCATAGAAATACTTCTCACCATCATCACACTCCTTTACCTGAAGTGCTTCCTAGATTGAAATACTGATCAAAAGGAAAACTACATCAGCTACTGTAAAAGTTACAAATCTATAAATTAAAGTTGTTCAAAGCGATGGTCATTACTCATTAGTGAAAGACCTGAAGTGCATCCTAGATGAACGACTCTTCATTTTGTCTTTTGTACCCGGGTTGGACACTCAGCACTCTAACAAAGGTATGGAATCTTTACCAAATACTTCAATGTTCACCCAGACACATTAGTTATCTTGAACCAAGTAGTTGTGGTAGAAGAAAATTTGGAAAGAGAAGGAAAAGAGGAGTGTGTGGGATATGTTCTCACAAATGGGTTTGAGATAAGTTTTAAACAAGAATTAACAATCAACTTAGCTTGAAGTGTGAGTATAATAACTCATGCAAAATGTCTTTTATAAACAGGAAAATGTTCAATTTATACCGTGATCCCACTTCTGTGTACAATTTAGGACATTAAACCTCATGTCTGAAACTTTAAGCCTTGACATGTTTGACACCCGCACCCGACACGCAAACCAGTGTATGAGTAACAAGCCTAAACTATAAAAGTGGATAAAAATATGAATAAAGTAATGCTCTCCAGTCACTAGAACACTATTGGAGTAGAGAAGGTATCTGTTGGTTTAACATATCAATAATATCATGAAGTACAAGCTACAACTTGAAAAACATAATACCAATCAAGAGCAAAGAGAAACAACCAAACTTTAAACATAATTATATCCTTCTTCATATCTAAAATATTGGAAGTGGTATTCTTAAGTTCAGTAACTACTCAATTTCCTACCAATGGCCTTAGTAAAGTCACATAGGTATTAATTTATCAACTAGTGGGGCATTGTTAAGAAATTTGGAAATAGGAAACATATTTGTTTTGCTATAAAAATTCAATAGTTTCCCTGAGTACTACATTCAGTTTGTGCAGAAAAATTATTCCAAGCATTCCAATGATAATTAATCCCTTATGCAAATAAGCTTTGTAATGTAATTGTCCTCGCATTTAAAATCCCTACAAGAATCTACAATATATCAACTTAAGTCACATAAGCATCACATACCTTGCACATGTGGGAAGGGCAAAGAGTACAACCATGAGGATGCAACTTAAAATCATGATACGGCATAATCCTAAGCCTTCCTTCATCGTCAACAAAAGTTGGATTCGTTATCATTTCTTTGAAGAACCCTAACAATTGATATTGTTCCAGTATTGTCTTGATATAAAATTGATTCGCATCACTTACAATCCACAATTCACACCTATAGCCACAAATATTATAACCATAAGCTTCACATTATACTTAAAAATCCAATAGTTACCAATCAAATTAGAAACCGAAAACCCCACTTCATTATTTATACGGGGGCATTATGATCGATTATATGATATTAGTATTCTACCCCATAGAATGAGCAGATTTAATTGCTGATATAATCTTCGGATGTAATGGCATTTGCTTTAAACAATCTCCAATATCTTCAACTGTTTTCCCTTGAAAATGAAGCTCCTCCATCATCCTATTCTGTATAAATTTCGATACTACAAACCTTAATCATTTGTAAACTAACGAAATCAATGATTCTCCACTGTAAAAAGTTATTTGCAAGCAAAGAAATCACAAAATTCTCATACATATATACTCTTATTTTTTTCTTTAAAATTACACGTGGCCAGATGAGTCAATAATGTAGACGGGATTCGATCACGAATCTATTTAGACATCGTCGATATACAATTGGTGATATAAATATACTTATTAATACAAATTTATATGAATGAAGAGAAGAAATAATGAAAAGGGGACTGACCATGAGAGAGTTCCATGGCAAAGTGGAATAGAGCTGATTGAATAAAGGAGAGAGACCCAAGTGGGTAATCACCCAACGATCGCTATCTCCATCGATAATTGTTCGATCGAAGTCGAAAACCACCACTTTTTTTGACATTTTTGTAGTGAGATTAGATGAATCGCCGATGATTCAAGTTGGAAAGTTGAACTTCTGACTTCTGATAGGGGATGATTGCCTGTTTGGTGGATGCAGTTGAACTTTTGAGGGCCTGAGGGGGGTGTTCAATTTTATTTTATTTTTTTAAACAGTATTTTGTATTACGTATCACTTTTACGGTGAAAGTGGGGTTGGTTTAAAAATAAAAAATAAAAATAAAATAAAAAACTAAAAAAGCAATATAAGCCCATATTCACTTCACCATTAAAATACTATCAGCTAGGGGTAAGCAAAAATCCCGGATACCGGGAATTGGAACCAGAATCGATAAGGAATCGGCGGGTCCGAAATCAAAATTGGACCAGTAGTTCTAATTTTGGGTAATATATTAAGTAACTGGTTGCAACCGGTTCCAATTTCAATTCTCAATTTTTTGAATTCGGAACCGGTTGGGTACCCGATTATCCAATATAGACTAAATATATTTTTTTTTTAAAAAGCACAAAAATATGTTGAAGGCATCTAGTTAGTAAAATAAAAAAAATTATTATCAATACCTAAAATACATAAAATAGCTTAATGCATATATACATATAAGTACTAAACGCTATAAATGAAAATAAACCAAAATAAGTATTATAATTTGTATTAAATCTTAACAATTAAATATATAAGCGAAATCGGTAGCCGACAGTTCCAATTCTAAACCCTAAATTTTAGGACCGGTTAAACCAATTTCAATTCCGGTTCCGAATTTTAGGACCTGGTCCCAACAAATTCCGGGTCCTGATCCTAAAATTTTGTCCGAGTACCCGGTTTGCTTACCCCGACTATCAGCTCAGTAAAAATTAGAAACTTCAAAGAAGAAATATAATAGAGAATCAATAAAAATATTTTCTATTCAATATAACTAATTTCGATTCAATAAAAATAATTTAAATTTAGCAAAAATAATTTCAGTTCATTAAAAATAAAGTGAAGTGAACAGGTTTGAAGTGGGAGAAGTGAAAATATGGAAAATATTTAAATATGATATAAGGGAACCACTAGTGGAGAGAAAAAAAAAAGTAAAATATTGTTAATAGTTTTTAAAAAGGAAATGGAACAAGTAATTAAATACGGCCATAAAAGGAATGTGGAGAAAGTAATAAAATGTGGAGCAAGTAATAAAATATGGAGCGAGTACATGTATTTGACTTCCTCTATTGCATAATACTACATCCGTTTTTTTATTTGATGCATATTCTTTTTTGGGGAGTTTTTTCGTAGTTTAGGCATATTCTTTTTTGAGAAGTTTTTTTTAGTTGACCCCACTACAACTTGATTAAATAAGCTACGACCCACTTGCTTTAATATTCTATATTCTCTCTTTAAGGTGTGTGCCTAAATTGAACGTGTCATTTAAAAGAAGAGAAGGTATTGGGTGCGGCAAGCCGCACCAAACAATCCGTGCGTCAAGTATATATGATATGCAGTATTTGATATAGGATATGTATTGTTTGATAGAGGATGTGTACAACTTGTTGGAGGATATGTGTTATTTGATAGAGGATACGTACAGTTTGTTGCAGGATATATATTGTTTGTTATAGGATATGTAGTATTTGATAGAGTATATGTACAATTTATCTTTGATAGAGGATACTTACAGTTTGTTAGAGGATATGTGTTAGTTGATAAAGGATACGTACAGTTTGTTGATGGTTGATATGTAGTATTTGATGGTTGATATGTAGTATTTGATGGTTGATATGTAGTATTTGATAGAGGATATATACAATTTGTTGGAAAATTTGTTTTACTTAATAGAGGATATGTAAAGTTTGTTGGAGGATATATATCATTTGATAGAAGATATGTACAATATGTTGGCTTACCTGTTGTTTTTGTTTGCTGATTTCATCCTTTTGTTGGTTGATATGTTCAATCTGTTAGCTGATATCTATCTTTTGTTGGCTGATATGTTTCTTTTGTTGGCTGATATACATAATATCACATCTTCTTACAGAGGATATCATCCAACTTATAGACAATATCATCCAACTTATAGATGATATCATCCAACTTATTATAGATGATATAATCTAGACAATAGAATTTATTTTATAAAAATAATTAAAAGGTCAACAATGGAGGAACCACCATTGAAGGTCCCGTACTAAGCTCATGGATATAACATAACATGCTCATTTTTCAACCAAAATACATGCATTTGTTATTAAAACGCTCACAATTCGACATACAATCACATAGGACAATCAAATTCAACAATTATACATCACACAAGAAAGCCCCAAATCGATATTTTTTTCGCGTTTTTCGAAATATCCGAGAATTTCAAGCAATTATCAAGCCAATTCAAGCATAAATCATGGACAAATTTAATCAACAATCAACAAGTTTCTCGCCGTCAACGATACCACCGCCAATAACAACGCCTTCGATGGGAGCGATCATTGGTATAAAGCAAAAACCCGCTAGACTGACGAAACATTTGGTCAGGCTAGACTGATGCAATAGTTTGTGTTAATAGAAATGGAGGAAGTAATTAACAATTTAAATCAATTAGTATCATACAATATGTTTTTAAATAGATACTAATGTGATGTTTAATAATTATCAATTTTTAAATAATTTTAATTAATGTTTAATTAGTTTTGGTATATAAATTAATGGTTAAACTTATGCACTGGCTATGTGCAAAGTTTGACTCTGTCATTTATTATGAAATAGAACAAATTTTTTTTTGAAATACTTGTAATGTATTTTCTCCGTTTTTTTTAATAACAATGTTTAGAATTTTGCATTATTTACATATACCTTTGATCGTATCCTGTGATTTATGTATTGCAAAAAAATATATACTTTGTAGTCATGTTTAAAGGTTATTCCGTTGTTATATACACCCAGATACACGGTGAGAGTGAGGAATAGCTCAAGTGGTTATAGCTCCTCTCCCAGTTCCAGGTGATCCTGGGATCGATTCTCATCACTCACCTTGGTAGCTCTCTTTAACGCACAAAAAAAAAAAAAAAAAAAAAAAAAAAGTTAAAAGGGCCTTGAAACATAAAGGGGTTGTTTGGCAATCGGTTGTTGGCTTGTTTGACTAGCTGGAAGTATTAACTGTATGGATTGGCTTTTTAAGTTAGTTGTTTAAGTCAGCTGTTTACAAAAGTGTTTGGTGAAATTATTAATGGTTGTTAGATGTTTATTAGTGATAAACTGGGCCAACAAGCCAATAACTTTTGGCGGAAAAGCCAATAAAAAAGCCAACTATCAAACATATATTTTTGACTATTTGACCAAACTAAAAAATCAAAAGCTAGGCAAAAAACCAATTGCCAAATACCCCAAAATAAATCTTAATAATTCTTGTTCTTACGTGGCCTATACCAACCAATCAGATACTCCCCAACACGTAAATAAACAAACACAATAAATTTACCAGACTTCACCTCGCACTTCTAGACTTCTAGTCTCCTCCCACGCAAACAAACACTCACACTCACCCACAAAATAAAACAGAGATCGAGCAAATAAAATTCATGGCAAAACAAAGCTTAATAGCACTAAATTTAGCAGTGCTAATAATTTTAATATCCTGTGCACAAATTTCAGACTGTTTGAAAAAACCAGAAACATCTGCTAGAAAAGAAGACATTCCATTCATCAAATGTCAAGTTTGTCAAAAACTTGCTTCAGAACTGTATTCTCAGGTTCAGATGAAGAAAGATGCTCAGATCTCACCTAAAAAGGTTGTAACTTTGTGTTTTTAATTTTCCGGGTGTTATATATTTTGACTAATTTTGTGAAATTTTTGTTGGGTTTTTGAAAAAAATTAATATTATTGATGTTTGTGTTGTTGGGGTTTTATTTGATTTCAGATTACAGAGTTTGAGGTTATTGAGATTGTTGAGAATGTATGTAATTTGAAGAAGGAAGAAGCTGATTGGATTTTGAAAATCGACATTGTTGAAAAGGGTGATCAATTGGAGGTAAATTTCTATTTTTTTTATTATTTATTTTTTGCTTGAATTTGTTTATCTTGATTATTTTGAAGTTTAATTTTATTAATTCTTACTGTTATTGGTGAAATCGTGTATGAAGCGAATTAAAAATTTAATCTTGTGATTTTTTTATGAAAGATTGTGTTATATATTACTTGATGATTGACAGATTGAGTGTTTTCTGTCTTAGGGAGTTCTTGGATTATTATTGACTTTATAATGTAATCTTATGATTTTTACTGAATGGCATTTGTCTTGGGGAGTTCTTGGATTCGGTTTGCAATCTTTTCAATTGTTGATGTGTGATTGTTTAATCAAGTAATGTGAGGAGTAAGTAACTTAGGAATGAAGTTTGTCCTGCTTTTACTTAGAGGTGTAGTTGTCGAATCATGGAGTCGTAAATCTTTGCATCGGCGTATCTTCTGATTTCCGAGTTTCTCATTTTAGAGATGTTTTTATCTTTCTGACAGCACAAGCTCATGACTCACGATGTTCCTAGAGTATATATACTTTGCTTTTCATTTTACCTTAAGTGCCTGTGTCGAATTATCGAACATTTGACATGGATAGAGTATATGGATACTGAATACTCCATGATGGACCAAAGAAATAATTTTTGTTTGAATAGGTGAGTCTAGCACTTGGATACGTAACAAAGTCTGTCACCGTCACACCTCACACCAATACCTAAGTCTGAGTGATAGGCTATAGAAGTACAAGGAAATACTTCAATCTAACAGCATTGATAAGACCTTATTTTTCAAATGCATTGTTTTTGTTGCAAGGATAGCTGGAATAAAAAATGTTTGTATTAGTAAAAAGCTTTACTATTTACTGTTTTAATCTCTGTGAAAAAGAACTTTGGGTTGCTGTTTAACCAGTTCCATATATTATATCTGAAGATTAATTTCTGCATGCAGTTCTTATTTTTTTTCATTTATCCTCTGATATTGTACTGATTGAATTACCAAATCAGACTATTGTTTCTTAAAACTTCATTTTCATTTGTCAAAATCTTTTCTATTGTTAATATTTTTTCTAAAATGTTCTTGTTGGTTTCAGCTGGTTGATCAAGATGTTGAAGGACAATGCAACTCAAAATGCAAGACAATTGAACGGGCATGTCAAGAGGTTAGTTTGTGTCTCAAATCATATTTACTCCTTAGGTTTTTGAGTTTTCCTTGTAAGCTCTCAATGCTCTGCTTCCATCTCCATTGAGATTTGAGAGATTATTCTAATTAGTAGTTATAAGATGATGAGCAAAATTGCTTATGTCATACTTTGGTGTTGGTATCAATTCAGGTTGGAGGTTTATGATTTTGCAATGTCAGCAAGTCTTGTTTTTTCAGGTTAATGAAATTTTCTATAATTTCTTGTTTGATGCAGATTATCGGGTTTTCTGACACTGATATAGCCGAATATATATATGCTCGGAAACCACAGCTTGATTCTTTAGTAAATTATCTGTGCAAGGACCTCACTAAAGCATGCAGTAAAAGGCCACCTCCTGTGCCAAAGGTAATATATACAAACTATGGCTATGTCCTCTATGCTCGATTGGTTCTTTCAATATTATTTCATTTCAAGTTTGTGAAAATTTAGAAAGATATTTATTTGAAGCGTGTTTAGTTGTATACTGATTGTAGTTCATTTCCAAAATGGGAGGATTTTTATACTTCGTAGCTCATTATCAGTCCATAATTTAAAGCCTTCGTCGCCAATGATAAATTCTCAATCATAAGATAGCATCAAGTACCATAGAGAGCAACTAATATCATGACTGCACATATACTTGACGTTTATACAGTATATTCAATCACCATAGCAAAGATCTTCCAAGTCAAAAGCTTCTCTGTGTGACTGATGGTGAATCTTTATTAACTTTTGTACAGGATAGGGTTCCAGGGGAACCATTTCTCCCAAAACCAGAAAAAGAAGCTGAAATGGAAAAAATGATGAGATCCATGCAGGTAAGCCATCCTTTACCATTTACTCCTTCCATTTTTCTTCTAACTCTCGCAAGACCAATAATTTTCTGCATTATACTATTATAGGGTCTACCAGGAGCACCTGGGATGAAAATGTACTCCAGGGAAGAATTGATGAACATGCAAAACTTAGGCAATGAGAATGTTGACGAGGATGATGATGATGACGACGACGAAGAAGCGCAATTCCGATCCAATTTGGTATGTATATGGTTTTTTTATCAGGTTTTTGAATGTGTAACCTTTTTTTTTTTTTTTTAAATTATTCCTGTTGTATTGATGTTTAAGTCTGCTGAACCCAGGGAAAAGCTTTCAAGGAGAAGGGGAAGAAAAAAGGTGACTGGAAGGAAAAAGTCCTGAAACACGTAACTAATACTGGGAAGACACTTAAAACACACGCAAACCGAGTCTCTCACCGGCTAAGAAAATGGTGGAAATCAAAAACAAGTGTGGCATCTAAGAAGAAATCGACAGGCAATAAGGCAGAACTTTAGGACAATTAGGAGTCAGCCAACAGAAACAAGTTGCAAGAGTTTCTCTTTTATATGGATTTTGTATAATGCTTTTCTTTTTTTCTTTTTTTTTTTCCTTTTCTTTGTATTATCAGAGGCATTTGCAAACAAGGGTATTAATTTAGAAAATTAGATTTTTTGGAGATTCAACCTTTGCTCAGTGTGTGTTATAAAATTACTGAACAAAATGTGATGAGGAATGATAAAAGCTTATGAAAGTAGGTTAGATCAACTTGTATTGCTATGCGGAAACGTTAATAATATATACTAGTGAGAGTGCTAAACATGATAGAACTCCTATACACCTAAAATATAATTTTACCAAAAATATATCCACAATATCTATGAAAGCCCTCCCACTTCATTTCTCAAGTGTAAACATACAATTAACTAAAATGGCATTTCAGATGAATTTTCTTTTTCCTCATTTTTTGTAATCAACCAAAAGTTACTTTCTTTCCTATGTCCCTATCATGTATCTAGCATGAGTACACAGTATTGCATTTCCTACAAATATTCACTTCCCCCGTTATTTGTACTAAATATCATACACATGTCTGCAAATTGTGCATCTAGCAAGGATACTCTAAGGGAAATGTGGAGTTAAATTAGTATCACTCTAAAAAATTATATACTTCGAATATATCAAGTACTCCCTCCGTTCTTTTATTTTTGCCCCATTGCCATTTTTTGGGTCAAACTTTGAAAACTTTGACTATAAATTACCGTTAATCTATAAATGATAATATAGTCATGAGTGATCTTGTTAGATTCGTTTTGTTATATATTTTATTAATATCACGTTTTTATAATTTTCACGTGTATGGACATAAAGATATAGACGTTTTAAGACGCATCTTGAAAACCGTGTATAGTCAAATGGGGCAATAAAATAGGGACAGAGGGAGTATGATTCAATATATCTAGAAATTGTCTCTCTTTGTTATTTTTTAAAAAAAGGTTTTTCTTTTAAGAAAAAGGTTTTTTTTTCCTTAGAAATTTCAATAATAATTTTTATTTGATAGGATATGGTATTTTACAAACTAATTTAAGCAAAAGGGAAAGTGTTTAATGCATAATGCCAAAACTTCCAGCGATGTCAATTTACTGATTTATCCATGATAAATTCAACATGTCATAAACACAGATTTAACCAAGTACACTTCAGAAACACATCTTTATAATTGCTCAGTAAGTTAATGAGTATACATCATTCAATGGTAGAATATTGAACGTCAAACATTGATAAACCGACGTCTTGTGTAGTTGTGTCACTACCTTGCACTAAATATAGGTTCTACATCAGGTCTTGGTTGTGATCTTCTGGTGTATTTGAGCAGCAAACCCTCTGAAGAAAGACCTGGCACCTTCAAATCCCTACAAAGTTACAAAAAACAATTTAAGAGAAAGCAGAAAAGCAGAAACATTAAACCAGTAACTGCAGCAAAATGAATCACCTTATATAAGGTTCGAGATCCTTCCATTCCCATTTTGGTCTCTCTTTGAAGAGAATTGAGAAACGCTCTGCAGGAGTTGAGGGCAAAGAAGAAACACTAAAAGGATGAATCCAAATTTCCACCCCAATCCTCTCTGTTAAAACTTCACATTCCAACATCTCAAAACTTGCCTGCATTCCATTAGGAATTTTATTCTTCCATTCCTCCAAAAACTTGTCCTTCTTCACTTTTCCATTCTTCATAATTCTTTTGGCAAAATGTACACAAACCTGTTTCTCATTTAATTTCCACAAAGATACACCGTCCTCATTATCCACTGTATTTCCGTACACTTTCAAACAGTGGTTGGAAAGTTTGGGTGGAAACCCATCTGACTCCATTATACTGACCACCTCAGTTTCTGGTAGTGCATCTAGGGACCAATCGTTTAACACTGCATTATGCAAAAGCATGTTCAAGACTGAATCCATGCAATTCTCATCTATAATTCTCCAATAGCCATTGATTTCCAAAGCATTAAGAGCTTCTAAGCCTGATCTCAGTTCGATATCACTTGCTTGAATCTGTCCAATGAGATCATTCCATCTATATACAGAGTTCTGTTCCTCACTCACCAAAAAAGTTTCCATTTCTGACATCTCCTCAATCGTAAAAGGTTTTTGTGCCAGAAGCAATTTCAATTTGTCCAATCTGGGAGCAACCTCAACAAGCTCCAAGTTACCAGAAGCCACCTTCAGCACAAATGCTGAAGCAGGTTGGTCCAAGATTTGTTCATCACAATCCATAGCATTTTTGGGAAAAGACGATGAGTTGGAAGGAGGGATGAGAAACACTGAATTGGAATTACCCACAAACTTGATTGCATAAGTCTTTGATTGGGTACAAAACACAGCATCTTCATCCGGTTCTCCCCTCAGAGAGACTCTATATATATTAAGTAAGCAACAGAGTGATTTATCAGAGAAAAACATCAGCACAAAGAGATGCAACTTTTAATCAATGGGAAGATTTCAAGGAAATCCTTACCTTTCGCTGAGAACATCAGGAAGAAGCTTTTCATCAAGTTCAAGGAGTAGTAGGTCTTCATGAGGACCAAAATCTGAATGATAAGCTACAGATATTGAAGACTTTGGCTGAAGATCTAAAATTGCTTCTGCATCACCACTTTTATCCATTCCAAGAAGCACTTGATGTCTTCAGTTGTTCTCACCCTTCTTAAAGATTAATCTCTACAACTATACAAGAGTTGCATGCAACTTAAGACGGCAGGAAGTTTGAATACACAGTAACACTTTCTCCTTTACTTTCTCATTTGAGTAATTGCGCAGTCAGGCATCACACCAGCTACAACCAATCGATTTGTGTTATTATCTGCACATTAATAGAGTTCTTTCTCAGAAATGTCAGGCATCTTACAAAAATCACAACAGTGCAGTTCAACAAACATTTGTAACACCCAAAAGGACAGTCAATAAAACAAAACAAAAAGTTTCAAACTAAAATTGAGCTATCAGAACCATTACCAGTCTTTCCTTACACATTATTTCAGTATCAGTTCAACAAAAGCTCTTACTACATTCTCTAAAGGGAGGCAGGAGGGACCACAGGAGGGACAGAAGTGGTAAGACGGTATACAACGAGCATAAAAGAACATGCAATGTCTAACATCACTTTTTCAACGTTCAAGGTGGTGCAGATATCAGTATTGAAGACATTTCTAAAGTTCTCCGCATTTCATTTTGCATAAATTGAGTGTTGATATCACATACAATGTGCTGCTCAATGAATCAAGGGGATCAAATGAATATAATATCTAACTTTGTGGAGCACCACAGCCAATTATTCTAAGCTTAACTAAACATTGACCTTCCCCCTTTTCTCTTCCTCGTATGTCCACCTTATTTATTAGACACATGCTACCTTTCATCCACACAAGCTCTTAAATTCTCCTTTAGCTCGGCTAAATCTACTACTCCCTCCATCCCATAATACTTGGGACGTTGTATAACCAAAAAACTAATCTAACAAATTTATACGAGCAACGTATTTTTGCTTTGTAGGCTTTCATTTTACCTTTGTCTACAAAATAGATGTGTCTTAAGTAAAACTATCTGATAAAATCTCGTCTATTTGGTTTTGAAGATCCTTTCAAAGCAATATATGAAGAGTTCAAGGATACACCACAAGCAATACCGCTCTACTAATTCGTTTCCATTTCTCTTAATATGTGCTTTCAATCCAAATGCATACATATGTTTTTATCCGGTACAGAAGCACTAATAGGCTGAATGAACTAATCAAAGAGCTGCAGAGACGGCTTATGCAACCATTACATGCCAGGAAGACTCATTGATGTTTCACGGTAGTAATGATACAGCCGCTTCAAAAAGTCAAGTTCAGCTGCTCAACTAACAGGTAAAATAGTAAAAATACGGAGTGAAACTTAACATAAAATCAATAAGTACAGAATCTTCATTAAGTCAAGTTCATCAGCCAAAAAATGGAAAATAAAACAGCAATCAATCACTACCGCAAAACAATCACATTGCCAAATAAGCCTGAAATTACGCAATAATCAAATAGCCATTAAATAACACAACCTGAGCCTCGAAACTAGTTGAATGATTACATAAATCAGAGTTAACACATAGAATGACAGTGGCTCGCGACTAAACAAATAATAACTTTACTCTTTCTTACAACTCTAATCTCAAGTCTAATAACCATTTAATATGAAAAAATAAAGCTAATTCATCAAATTATAATACAAAATGAATAGCCAAGTACAAATACAAGGAATTCAATTATTCCCAAAATCAGGTTTTTACAGTATAGTCAATTTCCCCACCAAATATATACTGATGACAGCACCCAAAAACTCAAAGAAAAAAATAGAACCCTAATTAGGATTGACATACTGTGAAACTGATAAAAGCGCCCAGAAATGAGAAAAAAATAATTGAAGATATAAAAATGACGAACAAAATCAACAAAACCTAATTAGCTTACTACACACCTCTAATTATAGCTTATAATGATGAATCAGATAGGAAAAAAAATTATAGAAGGGAATGAAAAAACCCTAAATAAAACCCTAAATCAACAAATGTTTAAAAAATAATTGGAGGGAAAAGAAAGAGGGTATGACCTGTAAGTGTATAACAATGGTAACAAATTCAGCTGACTGCAAAAGCGGAGAGAGTGTAGAGAAGAGTGGAGTGACGGTGGTTTTAGTGGATGTTGGCGGGAGTTTACCCAACTATAACTAAAAGAGCGGGTGAGAAGCTCTTTTTAAACTGAGGAGGAGTTCATGACTTGTATTCTTTTTTTTTTTTTTTTTTTTTTTTTTTTTTTTTTTGAGCAAAATCCTAGAGTATTTTGATTTGCTTCATATAGTTCGTATATCCTAAGACTAATTTATATCTAATCTTATCACCAGCAAGAGAAATGAAAAAAAAAAAAAAAAAAAAACTAATATATACTCTCTCTGTCCCAAAATAATTGATATAGTCACGTAAGGATTACCCATAAAGCATCACTAATAACATCAAGCAACAACGCAATACATAAAAAATTCAACGATTTTTTCATCATATATCCCTGAGTTTTTTGTTTATTCACCATATACCCTTAGATTTTTTCAAATACACCACATACCCCAAGAGTTTTCTGAAAAATACACTAAATACCCTTATTAACTAACAGATGCTAGCTCTAACATTCTTTAGGGTTAATTATGCCTTGAAACCACCCCAGATTCCTTCCCTCACTCTTGAAACCAATTACCCTACCTTCCCTTACCCACAAAACCACTCTAAATATGTTTCACGCCCAAAATAAATTATACGGACATGATTCTAGAGATTCAGGATGGTTTCATGAGTTAGGGAAGGAAGGGGGTGGTTTTGATGGTGAGAGAAGGTATCTAGGATGGTTTCATGTCATAATTAACCAAACTTTAATCATCTTATAGTTATTAAGGGTACATGATGTGTGTTTGTAAAAAATTCATAGATATACGGTGTATTTAAAAAATTCCAGTGGTATATGATAAATAAACTTAAAACTCGAGGGTACATAGTGAAAAATCCGTAATATCACCCACTACAAACCCAGGGAAACTAAAAGAAAACAAAGGGTTTTGAGGTCGTTGGCATTCGATTACAAGTATGGGAACCGGCATGCCCTTAAGCAGTTTTTTTAGAGAGGAGGCAGCTAGGCAGAGTAGTAGGGAGTTGCGTTCCCTTTTTTATCTAAAAAAATATTAACTGTTTAACACCGTTTTGAATCGTTCAGGTAATTAAAGTCAGTAAGTATACATTTACAAACGAAGCATTCTTTCAAGGTTGTGAGTGTGTGTGTGGATGGGAAGGGAGTTAGTACAATGATTGTTGCAAAATGAAAAGATTGACGGCATTCATTATCAAAGAATACATCAAATAACCAAAATTTTAGATAGTTATCTAATAATACAACATGACAATTTTTTTTCTCCACAGCTAAAATTCAAACTTCAGCTTAACAGGAAAAAGAGCAATGCACGCCATGTTGCAGCCTTTCAGCTCTTCTCCACACATTTGCATACCTCCCAATAAAATCAGCCAATTTTCTCTTGCTTTAAAAAGAAATATGGAAGTCTTATTGAGGTCTCAGGATCGTCCATAGGAATTTCTTTCAAACCTTCACAATAAAGACCATTCATTCCCACTATCGCATCTTGTAACACTGGGTCTTTGAGACAGCACAATTTTTGCCATTGAATGAATACTCGAGCATAATATCAATGTCACGAGGATTCTTCTTGTTCTGGGAAACAGACATACTTCCGACAATAAACTCTCCTTCACATATTGTAATCTTTTCCTCAAGGTACAACACTGTCTGCTTCCAGTGAGTATTTCGTGATCTTGGTCCTAAAAACATGGTTTCATAAAAGAAATTAACACTTACCCAACTTTCAAATATCATAGGGGTACAAACTTTAAATCAAAGATTCTAAACACAACAATGCAGTCTGAAAGAAACATGTGCGCTTAAGCTCTGATAAAGAAAACTGACCTGTCGAAAAGCCCATTAATTTATGGCACCTTGTAAATGACACATCAAAATATGCTACAAGAGCATGAATGTAATCATTACGCTGTGCTACAAGTTTAAACGGAGCAGTGAAGGAAGCATCACCAGGTGTCATCTTAGATATGTCCATTGTCTGCAAAAATACATGCAGCAATTCAGTAAAGAACTATAGTTAGGAGTCTCTCTTTCTCAAGACCTAAGAAAATGCATTTAATAAAGAAAATTTGAGTCAAAACTGAATTTCGGGGAGAAAAGAAAGTGACAGACCTTGAGCAGATGGCTATTTGTGACAATTTGATTTTGGTCGACTGTATCAACTAGTGGCTCAAGCATGGCTTGCTTTCTTATACAGCTCATATCAAAACCATAAACATCATTCCAAACTGAAGGCATCATTAGTACAAGTTAGAATAAGAAATGCATAAACATAAAACTAAAATAAGCATCAACTTACAGAGAAATTTTCAAGTAGCTATTTCAGCTACATAAAACAAATAGCACCAACTATAATTCAAGTAACCAATATGAACATGCCTAGGAAATAAACCAGCAAAGCACAGCAGATGCTTACACTCAATCTTGTCCTCTTTGTACTCTGCATCCTCAATGGCTGTCAAATAGAGAGAGGCTTTGTCTGGAAAGACAATGCCATTGTCAACCTACAAACATGAAACATGCTGTGAATTATCCATAGAACAGCGAATATTGAACAAAACATTCAGCTACAGAATATACCAACAGTAAAGCCACATTCAAGTTAGTCTGATATCATACAACACAACCAATCAACTCCTCATGGAAGGAGCTGAGAATTGACAAGTTTTGAAATGAACATTGAACATGCATTGTGTCAAATGCTATGAGAATTAAAATGCTACACAAGTTTCTCATTGATATATACCACATGAAAGGAAAGCATCAACTTGGACAATCTCAATAAAATCATAATTTGAACACAATTCAAAGATATTCATGAGCGTTCTCATCACAGAAATGGTTAGTTCAAGGAGAACAAGACTGGTGTGCGCTGAGAATTAAACGGATGGAAATATCTGCTCTCTGATAGATAGCAATTAAAAGACTCTGCATTTCAATTATTATAATGGCTTCAGGTTTAAACCCATCTGCACTCCTAAAATCATTTCTGACTACATATTTAACCAGTTGCTTCAATTTCATTCATATTGCATGGTCATTATTCTAATTCATAATGATCAGCAACACCATGACATTTAAGCCAACTCTCTAAGAAGTTTATTCAATACACGGAGTAATATTTAACCTGATAAATCTTATAACTTGTGGTAATATTTAGTGGCAACACAAACAATAGTAGTGCTATTCAGAAAGTACAAATTAATCTCCAGGATAAACATATGATGTTTATCTTGGGGCAAAATTGTAATATCTTAGGGGCTTGCTCTAGTGCTATTCAACCAACCACAAACCAAGCTTGGGAATAAAAGAAGAGAAAAATGCATTGTTCGATCCACTAAACTTTTGCACAATTACACGTTAAATAAAAGCAATCAAATGCAGACAGCAAAAGATCAGGGAAGTTTACAATAAATATAGAACCGCCTACCAGCCACTTATCACGTGCATAGAGAACTGTATTCAACATGTTTTCATACAAAAGAAAGTAGCCCATCCACTCTGACACAATTATATCCACTTTGACAGGAAGTTCAATTTCTTCAATTTTCCCTTTGAGAACAGTGATGACTGTAAAATCAAAAACAAGTTAGCATGCATTATGTAAATACGTAGTATAATAAAGCAAGGTAAAAATAACAAAACACAAGTGCTGCAGTAGTAACATCACCATTAGAGTATCCATTTGTTTCGACAATCTCCTTTGCCATGTCAGCCATGTCAGAGCACTCTACCTGAAATGGAGAACAAGAAACTTAAGATTTTTGTTGAAGAAACTTGCATCTAATCAGATCAGCCAATGATTGAAATAGAAAGCACTATAAAGGCATTGGGTATTTCTAATTCGTCTTAGTAGGAGTTATTTTTATTCCAATAAAACTAGATAAATAAAATGAAAAACTTCAAGTTTTTTTTCTGCATTACCCTATACCTTGATCTATCAAGATGTTAGAACATGGAACTAACTAGTAGGCAGCCCCTAGTAGTTTTTTAAACAAAGAGACATAGACTAGAAGGATCGACATACCGCATAGACATGCTTAGCCCCAGCTTTGGCACAAAAAAGAGACAAGATACCGGTGCCGGCTCCCACGTCAAGAACCACTTTGTCTTTAATAAGAAAGTCATTTTTGTAAATAACATTTTGATATGTCTTGGTCCTCACCACATCCTTCAGCATTTCCTGTAAGGAAAAAAAAAAAGTTAGTCAAAAACTTCCAAAACGCATTAGATAACATAGGTACATCAAAATTTGTTCAAGCAGGATAAAAGAAACATGCAATGGTGCTTCTTTGCAATTTCAATATAAGCATTGGGATCCAGCTAAATAGCATATACAAGTATATTAAAAAATATATATATATATATATATATATACTGCTGGTAAACAAGGACTTGGCATTGGAATGGATCAGACTTACTTCATGAATTCCTGCACAGACAAAACAAATCAGAGGAATATGTTAAGTAAAAAGGCAAACATCATATCATAAAAAAATGAAAATGAAAATGATATTGGATATATGAATATACGTAGTATAACAGTGCAAGATGCTAAATAAGTAAAATGTAGTAACAACTAATTGGAAAAACCAAGAGAACAAGAAAATTTGGCCTCATACGACTCGAAATTAGATGTTTTAAATTTTAATGCATCCACTTTTTTAATCTAATCTTGTCAGAGGTATCTCAAACTAAAGGCAAAATATCACCAAAAACAATAACAAGCAGACCTTCTATAGTTCTATATAAAGTTAAGCATATACAATTTGAACATAAAACAGTCACAATAAAGTCCAGTTCAAATTTTACTCCAGCATAAAATTTTTAGACCTAAGAAGAGAGCACATACTGTGGAAACATCAAATTATATATTGACGTAGGCTCGCGATTAACCGAACACTTAAACTTATATGAGAACATCAATATGTTTATTAGTTTCAGCTTCCATTTCAACATACCATATATTCAATACATTCCACTTCCCATCAAACACATATACAGAAGCCCCATCAAAAATTCAACCAAAAACACAAACCCATCTAAACCCTAATTTGACAACACTCAAATCATAATTAATCAACACAAACGCACAAACCGCCAAGACCCACCAACAAAAAACAACAGAAAATCAAATTTAAATTTATGAACACAGAGATTTTTTAAAAAAAAGAACAAAAAAGTTGAAATCATTTAATTAAACAAGAAGAAAGGAAGAAAATTTATACCAAAGTGGGAGTAAGAATCAAAGTAATAATCAGCACTTGTCCTCTCATTGGGAAGATTAGAACTTGCTCCAGCTTCATCAATGGCTAATCCATCAACATTCATGCTATCTGGGTTTTCAAAATTGCCATTGTTAGTTGAAGTTGAGTGTATTTTGAAGTTCTTGTTATGCCCCATTATAATTGTTTTTAGTGTATGGAAAGGGTTTTAGGGGCTCTGTATAAAATTGCAGAATTATTAGGGTTTTGGGGTTGAAGTACAGCTAAGTTTAAAGAGTCGAAAGTGGTTTATATAGTACCTGTATGACATAAATATCTCAGTCAAACAGTGAAACACATCATAGGCCCTAGACAAGAGCTATTGTGTAATTGAACTTAGGTTTATATTTCTCCCATGTTTTTTTAAGTGTTTAGATTTTGGAGTACTCTTCCTTTTTTGGTAAAAGGCACTGTGTATATTTTTAATTTAATTATTATTTCGTGTATCTCTTTTCACTAATGATCCCCGCCTAGTTTATTACTACTTTTTTTTTATTATTATTATTATTAGGTTAGAATTAGTGTGATGCATGGTTTATATAAAATTTATTTTTTTAATTTGTATATTTAAAAAAATGGATGAATATAAATAAGTATTATGCAACTTGTACAAAAATATTTGTAATTTTATTATTTTATATTCTCATCAAAATTATGATATAATACCGGTTCAATGCTGCCTAATACACATTTCAATGTAGCAGACCATTTATTAGTGTGCTATTTATAATTGTTTCATTTTTTAGGATAAATTGATAGGTTTTAGTTATAACGTAGAAGCTTTAATATTCAATTTTCAAAATTGTTAAATATGGTAGCTCTCTAAAAATAAAATAAAATAAAATAAAATAAATGACATCATCCTTGCATTTAGGCGAGAAAAAAATTATTATGAGAGTGACATGTGGACACTACGACACCAGCAACGTTTTGTTTTAATAATAGTTAATAGATGTAGAAGTTTCTAATATTCAATTTTCAAAATTGTTAAATATGGTATCTCTCTAAAATTAAAAAAAAAATAAAAATTAAAAATGACATCATCCTTGCATTTAGGCGGGAAAAAAATTATTATGAGAGTGAGATGTAGACACTACGACATCAGCAATATTTTGTTTTAGTAATAGTTAATAGATTTCTTTTTTCACATTTATTATTTTTTTTTAATAAACTAACTTTTATGGAGTACTAGTAAGTGGTTGGCTAGTTGGCCACACTCATAAGTTACTCAATTAGTGTTATAGGGGTTACTCAGTTAGAGTTATAGGGGTTAGGTCCCGTTCACTTCACCTTATTTTTGGTGGACTAAAATTATTTTTTTGAGCAGATTTTAATTTTACTGAACTAAAATTATTTTTTGCTGAATTGAAATTATTTTTACTGATTTTCTATTATATTTCTTCTTTATAGTTACTGAATTTTATGAACTAAATTTATTTTTACTGAACTGAAATTATTTTTACTAAACTGAACTTATTGTTACTGAATTGAAATTAATTTTACTGAACTAAAATTATTTTTACTTAATATTATTTTTTAAGGTGAAGTGAACAAGGCCTTACTCAGGGCTTGATCTCTTTATTTTATCAAAATAAGTTTCAGGTTTATTAAGTTTAGATAAGTTCAGATTAGTTACAATAACGTCCAATAAATTTAATAAGTTCTAATAAGTTAAATAAGGTCTAATAAGTTCCGATAAGTTAAATAAGGTCTAACAAGTTCCGATAAGTTAAATAAGGTCTAACAAGTTAAATAAGGTCTAATAAATTTCAATAAGTTCTAAAATGTTCAATCAGGTATAATAAGTTCAACAAGATCTAATAAGGTCTAATAAGTTCAGTTAAGGGTGTGTTCTATTCACCTGATTTTCACTTATCTAAACTTATCTAATTATTTTATCTAAAATTACCTGAACTTATCTTAACTTATTAGCCCTTATGAAAACTTATTTAGTTGTAATTTGTACTTGGGTAATCCTAATCAAAAGTTATCTGAACTTATCTATACTAATTTATTAAAAGACGTTCCTAAAAATGTCTACGTGTCACGTAGACCCCCCCTCACTACGCGTCTATGCCTTGTCACCCACTCAACTACTCACTACGCCATGTGGCTCTCCCTTTCATTTATTTTTCATTGCATGCAATGCACTTATTAAAAAAAAAAAAAAAAAAAAAAGTTCCTAACAAGATTTGAACACACCTCTAATTCTAGAACTAAGTGTCTTACCACCAAGTTATGTGATTTTTTATGTAATCATTTGAAAACAAAATATTAATATGTAGCAAATGACACTATATATGAACAACAAATTTAATTATAAGAAAATTGAGTCAATTACAACGTATATTAATGATCAATTCCATGTAATAACTCGGGGCATCGCCCGGGCCCAAAAAATAGTTACTTAATAAAAAATAAAAAATAAAAGTGTTTGGCTTTATAGTAGCTGGGATATCTTTTAGTGGAGGCAGCTATTATTAAAAGCTAATAATATTAGCTTCTGAAAATTAAAAGTACGTAGCTGTTAAAATTTATTATATACTTTTAGGGAAAAAATATTAATTTTTATATGTTAACAGCTAGTCAACAACTACTTACTGAACACTCGTATTTATATTATTTTTATCTTATAACTAACGGCTACTTACACAGCTAACCGCTCGTTATACCTTAAATAAAGTGAAAATTAGGGGAATAGAACATGCCTTAAGTTCAGATAAGTTCAAGTCCAATAAGGTGAGAGAACACGCCCTTAGGGCCTGTTCTATTCACCTTATTTTCACTAATTTTAGGTCTAATAAGTAGTGATAAGTTCAGTTAAGCAAAGATAAGTTTAGTTGAGCAAAAATAAGTAATGATATGGGTTACCCAAGTCCAAATTACAACTTAATAAGTTCATACAAGTTCAGTTAAGTTCAGATAAGTGAAAATCAGGTGAGTAGAACACACCCTTAGTTAATAATAGAGGGGTTACTTTGTCAGTGTATGTAGGGGTTACTTTATTATTTAAAGGTTACTCAATAAGTATAATATAATAAGGGGTTACTCTATAAATATAACAGGAGTTACTCAATCAGTGTTATAGAGATTGCTCTGTTTTTTTATAAGCGATCACACGGTGGCCAACCGCATTGTAAACGTGCTGATATTTGTTTTAAAAAATTTTAATAGTTTAACTACCCCACTTACTTCTTATTTTATTTAAATCAATTAAATTGCTTAAAATTGTGTGTTGGTCAAAGTGTAACACTTCATAAAAAAAAAAGGGAGAGCACTTTTCTTTCTTTTTTTTAAGAAAAATTGTCCTAATCTGACTAGTATACCTACCAATGCATATTTTTAATTAATGTATTAATTATAAAAAGTTGATCTTCGAATAACTAGGGATTCCAGCGCGTGCGATGCGAGCGGTATGGTGAGCCCATTAAGAAAATTATTTCCGGTGGCTTTATGTCTTAATCCTGTTTGCATGATATTTTATTATAGCTATTTGCACATTGGCGATGGATGTATTGGATGCTGTGTAGCTGTGCAATGTTCGAAGCTTTAGTAGAGCTACTTTGATTTAGCGGGGGAACGATAAAAATATCGAGTTCTAGAATTATAAATGTCTAAATTTTAAGTACTTATTGAGACAAAATTGAATAAATTAAACAAGACATCACACGTTTAAAAATAAAACAACATCACACAATTATATACTCCATAATTTTTGTACTCCATATATAATAAAACTAATTTAGAATACTTTGTATTAAATAGTATTTAAATTCCAAATAGGAAAATAAAAAAGAAATGGAGTAAACGATGGCTTTAAATACTGAAATAAACACAACTTTTTATTTACAAATAATTAATCAATTTAGGGAATCAAGAGACAATTTTATGGCTTTTGAAATTAAACCGGGGCAAATATGTAAAAGAACATTTTTACGGATATAAAAACCCATGCACTATTTATAAGAGTTTTGTTAAACTTTTTATAAGGTAGGTAGGGATAGGGATACACTCCGTGCATTGAGAAGATTCTAACAAGTTTATAAATATTACCAAAATAGCAACCATTGACATCATTCCTTCTTCAAATTGTACACATGCCAAGTTGTGATAAAAAAAAAATTCCGCCTAAATCAATTGCTAGCATCATATTCTTAACCTTCTTTTAACCTTAGATTATTACTAGGTTAAAATCCCGTGCAATGCATGGTTGTTAAATATTATTGACAATAATATAACAAAATATAAAGTATATAAAAGATATTCAGAAATATTTCATTTAGATATATATGGAATATGATTGTCAAAGTGGAAAGAAAATATCATAAGGTATAAATACTTTACTTGAAGATTTTGCAAAAAAAAAAAAAAAAAAAAAAAAAAAGAGAAGCGAAAAAGGCGGGAAATTTTTTTACAAGGTAATGACAAGTTTTGCTTTTAGTATAGGTTAATAGATAGATAGATATTATATATTATAAATTATTTATTACTCTAATACTAAATTGTTTTTTTTTTTGTCATTAATTTGTCTAGGAAATTCAATACTTTTATTTATTAATATAATTTTTTGTAAAAGCTATTATTATAAATGACTATTGTGTTATACTTCGTATTTCTCTAGAAAGATTTATAATTGGATGACCGTATAAAAACCCGCCCATTTATTTATTGGACGGATCTGACCCATTTAAAACTAGAGCGGGTCAGGGCTTTTAATGGGGCTCCAACCCATTGAATTGCTCTAATTGTCAATAAGAAAAAATAATTCTCCTGCTCCACTCTCTCTCTCAGTTCTCTGGTGAAGCGCGACTCAACGTTCTCCATTGAAGCGCTCTTGACGTTCTCAGCAGCTTCTGAGGTGAGTTGTTATTTCTTTTTGTAATCATCATTTCAATTTTATAATCTAGGGTTTATCATTTCAATTTCACAATCTAGGATTTATCTTTCATCTAATTTAATTTAATTGTCAGTGCAGTAAGCTTAGGGTTCGAAATTCTCAACTATTGGTTCTAATTACTAAGATTATAAATGACCGGAACCAGCGAATTATGTTGCTAGAAAAGTAAATTATGAGCCTAATTTGATAATTGAGTCAAATATCCCTAAAATAATTGTGAGTTTTCGAGCCTTTATATCAGAATTGAATCAAATGTCCCTAAAATTATGTGACTTTTTTAGCAAATTATCAAATATCCCTAAAATTATGTGATTTTTTGAGCCTTATTTGATAATTGGATCAAATTTGGTTGCTCAGGGACAGGCCTGGATGCAGGTAGTGGGCTATTTTGTTTTTAATTAATCAGAATTCTACCATTTTATTGTTACGGGTTGCATATTTGGTTGGATTTCGAAGTGTAACTCCGTTACGCATAATTTTATCCATTTTCCCTATCATTGTGTAGTTGGTTGGATTTCGAAATGGACGAATGGAAGGCCAAATTGTCCGATGTGGAGCAATGGAAGGCCAAATTGTCCGATGTGTTTGAACAGGGGAAAAGTTTACTGCAGGAAAGTCTTGTCCAAACACAGGAAAGTCTTATTCAAGCGAAGAAGAAATTTGATGAGACACCAGACATAAAGCAGAAGATTAAAGAGACACCGGAACTTCAACTGTATATTGCGGCTGCTGTTGTTGTCCTAACAATATTTTTGTCATTGCTATGTAAGTTCTCAACTCAAAATGTATATGTATTGTCATATTTTATTATGTATTTAGCTTGTTATGCTTCTGGCTCTTAACATATATAAAGACTAAATGACTGGTAGGACAATTGTATGATATGATTTGAGTTCTTCCATATTATCTAGTTGGTTTATTGTAGCTGTAAGTTCGCAGACTGTTATTTTTAACGTAAAACATTAATCTTTCCAAGGAATTTCAAAGGATTAGGTAGAAGGATGGTCGCTAGATGCTATAACGCCTTTTATTCAATTTAGAGGCTGGATGGTGCATCTCTTTTCTTCGAATATTTATTTGAGTTTGGAACTGGCCACTGTGTGCACTGCCGTGTGTTGCTTCTAATGGACCTACATGATGATGTGCATCTCACTTGCCTAACTAGATTACTGTAATTTTTTTTTATTTCAGCTTTGGATTTTTGGTGATGGCCTGATCTTGTACGGTTGTACCTATAGCTTGAATGTAATGCCACGGATACATCAGGGGAGTCGTGAGGCATATGATTATCACAAATCATTGTGGTGCTGTTGTGATGAACTATGGAGTGTTGCTCTCTTTCTTTCACTGAAAATGAGACTGTGTGTGGGAAGGGGGGGGGGTTCTTGGAGTTACTGGTTGATGGGCATGCAAATCAGTAATTTCTGAGAGTATGCTGGTGTGTCAGTAACTCAGTACTACAGTGAAGTATATTTGAGAAAGGTCTACTGTGAAAATTTTTCTCCCTGCCCGCCCCCCCCCCCAGAGATGCGGGAGATTGTAGCCAGCTTGGTGCATGGAATTCACTTCTTAGTTTTTGCAAGATACACCTTGCTCCAATTTTCCTCCCTTTGCTACCATTACTAAACAGAAAGAGTTCTGAATTTGGACAATAGTGAAATTGTGGTTTTGCATCCCGTGTATAATCCACCCCCCCTCCCCCCAAATTTTTCCTAAGTGTTATATATCAGTAAAATGTAAAGTGGTGGGAAGATCTTTCTTTCTTTTTGTGATGTCTGAACTTCAAGGCTTGAGAAAAAAAGTGATCCCTATGCAAAGACCTAGGAGGCCAAGGTTGTGAATGTCTCTTATTATTCTATAATATGATATTTTTTTTCTATCTCTAATTAATACGAAGTAATTAAGAAGTTGTTCTTTGAAAGTTTCCTTCTGATAATACATATATTAATGAGGATTTGTACATGTTCCCAGCCCTATGTGATTTCTTTTCTGGGAGGCTTGTGCAACTTTGAGAATGCCTGCATATTCTGACTAATGAAGGCATGCCATATTGTCATTTTCATACCCTGAGTTAGTGAAGGATTTTTGTACATGGATGAACTTTAGGACTACCTCCATTTTCATTTAACTTTGATACAACTGTTTTCTTGTGTGTTATGAACTTATGAACAATGTCCCTCTGCAGCTCTGCTTTGCACACCTCTCCTGTGCAGAGTGGTTCTTAGAGAAGAGTGAAAATTCTTGAAGTTACTTTTTTAACATGAGTGCACATGTAATTCTAGGTTTTGTGTTACATGAAAGGTTTTTGATCTGGACTTTATTGTTTGTTGCATCCATAGCGTCTAACTTTGTTTCCACTTTAATTTATGTGTGGGAGAAAACAAATGATGGCTGTTTATTTTCATTTTTTTTGTTTATGTCAGTACGTCTGTTCAAGCGTAAGAAGCCTAACACTATTGTGCTTGCTGGACTGACTGGGAGTGGCAAAACTGTTCTTTTCTACCAGGTGAGCAATCCTCTTGTTGCTTTCATCATTAAAGCTGGCAGCAGGCCTCTTTTCACTCTAGTTTCTTTGCCCATTATGCCGGACAAGTTTGTGTACTACCCATTCTATTTGACTTGCTGCCTCATTGTTGGTCAATTTATTCTCAATGCTTATGTGAATGATGATCTTGTCTTCTCTTGTTTGCCAGCTTCGAGATGGTTCTTCACATCAAGGGACTGTGACATCAATGGACCCAAATGAGGGTACTTTTGTGCTGCATTCTGAGGTCATTAAGGTACTATACTACTATGATGATTTGATTTTCACATTAAACAGAAGGATGTCGTTTCCCTTGGATGCACTTGAAGTTTCTGTTATATATATATTTGTTCCAGTGTCAAGGTTCTATAGCTTTTTATGTAACTGATTTTGTTTTTATAATTTTGGGCAATTAATATTGTTTAATAATCTTGCAGTTCAATTAAAAATCAATTTGTTTAATAATTTTCGAGTTTAAATTTTATCTTTCCACTTGTATCCTCTTTGCCTTGTCATATAATATGGTCATGATTCCAGATGAGATTTGGATAGGAGGTGAGATAATGTACTATGTGTGTGCTGAAAGAGTTATGTGAGACAACCCCTTTGCTTGCAAGGCTTGATTTAGATTTCTACATTGCCCAACAGTTTATATACATGTCTCAAGTTTTGAACTATTAAATTATACTGGCTTAGAATAAAACCACTAGAGCCTTATGGTATTTATCATTTGAACACATGGTTGTGGAGATGTCAGCTACAGTCTTTGCCTCTTTGGGGCTATTCTGTGAGTTTATAATCCCTTGCTATTATAGACATATGTTTCTTCCCTGAGTAGGTAGTGGAAAGAAGAAGGGTAAGCATTGGCTTTACATGGTTGCTATATTGACAATATTAAAGTACTTTTACATTGTTCTTCAACGATATTAATATGTGCTATTTGTTCTGCTACACTGCCAACCTCAAGTTTCTGTTTATCCAAGAAAAGGAACTTGTGAGTGAAAAGTGATTAAATATTCTACTATTTCTTACATGGACAGAAGGGCAAAATCAAACCTGTGCATTTAGTTGATGTTCCTGGTCACTCACGGCTTCGGCCTAAGCTTGATGAGTTTGTGCCCCAGGCTGCTGGGGTTGTTTTTGTTGTTGATTCTTTGGAGTTCCTGCCTAACTGCCGAGCAGCTGCTGAGTAATTGCTTTTATACACCATTCTCTTTGCTTCCCCTTCCTTTCTCTTTGAAATGATTTCTGAATTCTGACTTCTTATCTATTTTGTTCTTAGGTACTTGTATGATATCTTAACCAAGGCTAGTGTTGTAAAGAAGAGAATTCCTGTATTGATTGTTTGCAACAAAACTGAGAAAGTAACTGCACATTCAAAAGATTTTATTCGCAAGCAACTGGAGAAAGAAATGTGAGACTTCATTTTTTTATGTCTTATGTTGTAAAATCTCATTTTTTTTCCCTTTCCCTCTAGACAGCAATAGGATGAATTTATTCAAAAGGTGCTAAATAGATGGCTTACTACTTTGTAGAATTACATCTACCAATCACCCTCTGAGCCGTGACGCTCTTTTAACATGTTTGCTATGAAATTAAAACTGATGTTACAAAATCTAACTCGTAGTTGCTCCATGATGCTTCTACTCAAGTCACCCTGAAATCATTAATTGTTTTTACAATATATTTTTTTTTTTCTCCCTAGATTGAAACATCCCATCACTTAATTTGAAAGCAGAAATTCTCTTAGTGTTGTATTTGGCCACCTCTCCTTGTCTTTTCCTGAAGTCTAGAGGGTTATCCTCAAGTGTTGTTTGTATTCTGTCTTATTTTTTTGCCTTCAGAAAAAGATAAGCATTGGATACTTAAAATTAATCATGCTTTCTCTAACTCTCAGTGACAAATTGCGAACTTCGAGAACGGTGATATCAGATGCCGATATTTCAAGTGAATTCACTCTTGGAGAATCTGGGCAACCATTTGCGTTTTCTCAGTGCCATAATAAAGTGACCCTTGCTGAAGCCTCAGGCCTCACAGGTGATATCTCACAGGTTGAGGAGTTCATCAGAGAGCATGTAAAACCTTGATTACATTTTCTTATGATTGAAGATATACTTTTTCATTGCTTTTTCTTAATTTTGGGGTTACCATCTTTTGGCAAGTAAATTGTGTACAACTTGTGAAAGACCCACCTGAGCATTAGAAATATTGTGGCTATGAATTTGTGAACTTGTGAAAGATGAAACCCTGAGCTATTAACATTAGAAGAATGTAGGAACTTAATTGTCTCATTTGTTCCACTTATCCTTTTTTCTGGTCTATTTCTCTAACTTAAAGGTTATCGAGTCAGAGAGCTGCTGCTTCGAAGCAGTAATGTTGGATCTACTATTCTACAGTGGTTGCTTTTTAACATGCTTTAGCTGTTATGAGCATATAACTTCGGGAATTTGTCATTGCACCAGCAGTGTTTCATGATTTGCTATTTAAATTTCAACTTTAAATACATAGTACTACGTATATTTTTCATGAGTGGTTAGCAAGGAACCACTCAGGAAGAAGTTCCTATACCTTCTGAACAACAGAATTATCTGTTTCGTTGTTGCCAGTTGCATGACATTAAATAGGGCTGTGCTAAACTTTTTAATTCGTACGGAGTATATTTCAATGAGCAGAGTTAAACAAACAAATAATTGTGACACATCACTTGAACAAAAGCCTGAGAAATTATGTACAGTATGAATAACCCAAAATGAACTAACGCTTTGTCAAAAAAAGAAAAAAAAAAAAAGAACTAACGCTTTCAAAGCTTAAATACGTTCAGAATATACTGTGATGCCTCGCTAGCTGAAGAGGGGTGGACGGGGTTAGGGGTGATAAAGGCGAGGTGTTGTTTGCTGCTTCTAGGAGAGTACGAAGCTACTGGGACCCCCCCCCCCCTTTTTTTTTTTTTTTGGGATTTTTTGAAACAAAGCTACTGGGAAACTGTGATAGCAGAAGGTAAAGCTATGGCGATGGCAGCACGCTTGGCTAAACGTTTTGGCCTATCGAAAGTCATCTTTGAAACGGACAACATTTCTATTGCTTCTCGACTGTCAAAGGCTTCTATTCACCTCATGGAGCTTGATTCGGTCCTTGAGGACATCCTCTTTCTTTGCTCGTCTTTTGTTGTAGTTCATTGGTCTCATGTTAAGAGGGAAGAGAACTTTGTAGCTCATCACCTCGCTAGATTAGTGCCTTTAGGTGTAGAATAAGTTTGGGTTAATCATTGTCCTTCTGTGGTTAATCCTATGTTGTAACGGATGCTTTGTTAATTAATAATTGCACTAATCGACTTTTTCTTAAAAAAAAAACAAAAAAAAAAAAAAAACAGAGTAACAAATCTTTTCACTATGGAGACTCCTCTGTTTTTGATTAAGTGTTCTATTTTGACTAATTCACTTATTAATGTAAAATTTTGACTATAATATCTTTAATTATTAATAGGAAGTAGGAAATGATTATATACAATCTTATGCAGTATAAAACACAAACAATGGTCAAAGTGATGCAAGTGAGTTGTTAAACTCAAATTGGGTCACTCAAAATAAAAATGGAGAGAGCACTCCATTTGCATTAAGTGTGATTTGTGAATGTTTCTTAGCTAGTTGAAGAAGAAAAAAGAAGAAGAAAGAGAGTAGCCAAAGTGTGAATGCTTCCTAACTAGTTGAAGAAAGAAGAAAAAGGAAGAAGAGATTAGCCACCCTTGACATCATGTCAAGCACTTTTCCTCGAATAAAAGAAAGAAGAGATTAGCCACCCTTGACGACGGGACTGCAAATGTGCTACTTTATTTCTGGGATAGAGGCCTTGATGTGTGTGTTGATTTGACGGGGTCTTCTCCTTTAACAAAATCTGGGTTGTCTGACTTCGTACCTGGTCGTGTTGTGTCGGTTGCAGCTCAGCGGAATCGGGACAAATTAAATATGGGGCGCGTTGTAGGGCTATTGGCTATGGTTTTCTTCCTTTCTCCTTTTCTTCATTGGGGGAGTTAGCGAAAGGAGGCTGTTGTGTTGCTGAAGCGGGTTTAGGCGAGGCGTTCGTTAGGACTCAGGATATTGGTGCTCGTGCAGCTACTCACATCTTCAGTAGGATCGGTTCGCTATAGCTAGAGCCCTAGAGGGGTGAGGGCCCGGATTGTATCTCGGCTCCCCACTAATTTCTTGTAATTTGGTTGACTTTGTAGGTTTTTGTTATATTTCATAATAATAATAATAATAATAATAATAATAATAAATAAATAAATAAATAAATAAATAAATAAATAAATGGAAATTTTAACAGGAATAATCCAACATTTGCCTCGTTCTCCCAAAATAATCCAACCATTCGATTAACCCTGAATAATCCTAAGTTTACCTATTATTCTCTCCTAATAAACCTATTTTACCTGCAATCGGTTGAATAAGTCAACATTAGGATTTTTTTTTTTCCCACCCTTTTTTCCCCTCCTATTCTCTCCTCCTTCTTCCTCCTTAGATCCAAGACCTAACATCAATGGAGGATCGGATGGATTGGACTATCATGAGAGCCCTTGGATTAATAACCTATTTTAAGTTATGGAGGAAGACAATGGAAGGTAGAGGAGAGAGAAAGAAGCAGAAAGGGGAAAAAAGAGGAAGAGGTGGATTTCTTTATTTTTTTTTATTTTTATTTTGTGAGTAAAAAAATTAACCAATAAATACTTGACACGTGGATTGGTAACCGGTGATAACGGGTGGGATGACCTGTTGGGGTTTTCTAGGAGAAAATAATAGATAAACATAAGATTATTTAGGGTTAATCGGAAGGTTGGATTATTTTGGGAAAACGGGGCAAATGTTGGATTATTTCTGTTAAATTTTCCTAAATAAATAAATAAATTAATAATTAATATTATAAAAGTGGGACCATGTAAGGAGAGAGAGAAAAACAATCTATTATATAATTTCAGAGTTAATTTTACAACACTTCACAACAATCCTCCAAATCCCCAATACTAAAATTCTATGCATTTCATTTTTTTTTACCAAGAAAAAAAAAAACAATAACTACCCATCCCGCTATTTTTCCTTTTTTAATTTTTTTTACAAGGGACTAATAACTACCAACATTTCACTTTATCATGTTTTCTTTCGTAAATCGTGCTAATGCACCGATATATATCACTCCGTACTACATATGAAATGATATTATTTTCTGTGGTTAATTTTTTTGTATAGTATTTTTATTTTATGAATTATTAAATTAAGGTAGTTGATGAATAATTTAAGAAAATAACAATGTTGGATCATTTTTTTTTGTAAAGATAATAAATAGTGGAAGTTACTTTATTTGAAGAATTAGGGGGTTGTTATAAAATAAGGAATAAGGGAAGAGAGAGAATATTAGAGAAAATTTTTCTACTATTTCATTAGACCATGCCATATATATACATGATGAGAATAATGTAACCTATATGGACAATAAAGAGTCCATTCACATGGGGGTTACAATGTGGAGTAAAGGCATATGGGGGTTACAAGGAGGTTACAAAGAGAGTCATAATATTGAGGGAGTTACAAGGCATGATGGGCATAATGGCATACACAATTATTATGTTTTGTAACACTCCCCCTTGGATGCCCATTGTCTAAGATAGATTTAATGCACATATATGCTGCCTCATTAAAAACCTTTCCAGAAAAACCCCGTGGGAAAATCATGGATAAAGGAAAAAGAGTGCAGCGCGCAGTACTCCCCCTCGTGATTGTATCACTAAAGATCTTTAAGATGATGCAATCCAATACGATGAACTAGCTTTTTAAATGTTGCAGTTGGAAGAGCCTTAGTTTATAAGTTTTCTAAGTTCTCACTTGAACGAATCTGCATAAACATTTATATCTCCATTCTTCTGAAGATCATGAGTAAAGAAAAATTTGGGTGAGATGTGCTTTGTTATATCACCTTTGATGTATCCTTCCTTAAGTGAGCAATACAAGCTGCATTATCCTCATATAGAGTCGTTAGTGCTTCTTTTCCGGATGATAAACCACAAACTTCTTTAATATGTTAAATTATCGACCTTAACCATACACATTCACGACTAGCCTCGTGAATAGCTAAAATCTAAGAATGATTGGAAGAGGTAGTTGCAATGGTTTGTTTCATGGAACGCCAAGAAACGGCAGTACCACCATATGTGAACACATATCCAGTTTGTGATAGAGCATTATGTGGATTAGATAGATAACCTGCATTTGCAAAACCAATCAAAATTTCTTTGGACAATTTAGGAAAGAATAAACCCATATCCTTCGTACCTTGAAGGTAATGAAGTGTATGGTTAATCCCATTCCAATGCCTTCAGGTTGGACATGAACTAAACCTTGCTAACAAATTGACTGAAAATGATATGTCGGGTCGTGTATGACATGCAAGGTACATTAGTGCTCCAATTTCACTTAAGTATGGCACTTCAGGACCAAGAATTTCTTCATCATTTTCCCGAGGTCGGAAAAGATCCTTCTCTACATCAAGTGACCTTACAACCATAGGGCTGCTCAATGGATGTGCTTTATCCATAGAAAATCTCTTAAGAACCTTATCTATGTATGTTGATTGATGTACGAGGATTCCATTATCAAGGTGCTCTATTTGTAACCCCAAGCAAAATTTTTTCTTTCCAAGATCTTTCATTTCAAACTCTTTCTTTAAGCAATCGATAGTCACCGAAATCTCTTCAAGAGTTCCAATGATATCAAATCATCAACATACACTGCAATTATAACAAATCCTAATCCACATTTCTTTATAAAAATACATGGCCGATAGGGTCATTCTTATAACCTTCTTTTAACAAATACTAACTTAGACGGTTATACCACATATGCCCAAACTGCTTCAATCCATAAAGAGATTTGTTCAATTTAATACAGAAATATTCTCTGGATTAGATTTTGCTAGCTTAAATCCTTCTGGGAGCTTCATATTAATGTTATTATCCAGTGGGCCATATAAATAAGTTGTGACTACATCCATCAAACGTAAGTCAAGTCCTTTTATTGCCAAACTAATAAAAAAATCTAAAAGTAGTTGTATCCACCACAGGAGAGTATGTCTCCTCATAATCAATACCGGGTCTTTGTGAGAATCCTTGTGCAACTAATCATGCCTTATATCTTACAACTTCACCAATTTCATTTCTCTTTCGCACAAATTAAAGACCCATTTATATCCCATTGGCTTTACACCTTCAGGTGTATGGACTACAGGCTCAAATACTTCTCTTTTTCCAAGAGATTTTAATTCTGCTTTAATTGCTTCTTTCGTTTGGCCAATCATTTCTTTGTCTACATTCTTCAATGGATTTTGGTTTACGATCCTCATTATTATCCATA